TGAGGAGTTTCAAAGTTAATTGCGTTTCAGGTGTATTTCCTGATTTATATTATATATTTATCTGCTAACATGCTGATTTTATTGTTGATTTAGTTGACATTTTTCTGTATGTGTATTTTGACGATCCTTTACCTGCTTCCGTTTAATCATGTAGATGTTTTTAGTTTCATGTCAGAATTGCAAGAATCTATTCAGCCCTGATTTCTATTAATTTCTTAAATCAACAGTTCACCAAATTATTTTTCATTTTGTGATTATTTACCCACACTCCTGTTGTTTCAAAACAGCAATAAAAAAATGATGGATATGATGATAATTTAATTTGAATTATCTTGTATTAATTGAATCTTGTTTCTCTTTCGTTTAAACATTTGTTCTTCAGCTTGATCCCGCTGTTGATGACATGACTGTGCCATACCCAAATCAGGCCATCGATGAAGACTACCGGAACAACTTCGGATTGAATCGCGGTCACTTGTTTCCCAGCGGACATGCAGGTGATGATGTCACTGCCGAATCTACATTCACACTGACCAACATTGTGCCACAGAAGATCACCTTTAACTCCGGCAGTTGGAATCGCATGGAAAGAGAAATTTCAGGCATTATGAATAAACTTTGCTATGACAATAATAAGGAAGTTTTAGCCCATGTGCTGACCGGAGCAATACCTGGCAAGAATAAACTGAATGGGAAAGTGAACATTCCCTCCCACATGTGGATGGCATTCTGCTGTTACAAAAGTACAGGGAATACATTTGTCTCCGAAGCTCACTGGGCCCTAAATGTAGATGAACACAAAGAAAAAACTGTCATTAAAGATAGCCTGCAGAAATTACAGGAATTTCTGAGTCAACAACTGAAGACAAAAGTACAGCTGTTTCACAACAACTGCACAAAAAAGCGTCAAGGAAACTAGCAACTGAACTATCATTTATTCAGTTTCAAAATACTTTTATTATGCTTGCAGCTCTTCCAAAGTCATAATATATGATTATATAATCCTACTTTCAACTCTTTATAATGTCAGTTTTAGTATCTGCATTTAAAAAAATATACAGTACTTTTAAAAAATATGTCTGTGTAAATTGTTCTAATAAAGCTTGTGCAAATGTTGTCATTTTAGAGTCATTTCACTGTCGAAAGGGAAGTTGGAAGTAGTGCGGTGAATTAAAAGTCCTTCAGGGTTAGTTCAGCCGAAAAACGAACAAAAAAAAGCAAAGGAAAATATTTTGTCATCATTAACCCTCATATAACAGATTTTACCCAGGCTTTTATTCACATATAGACATTGATCAGCGAAATATGTTTACAGCGCTCGGATAACAGAAGCTCAAGCACGTTTGCTTGATGTGCGAGAAACAACAAGGTTTATTCACACGTGTCAGTCTGTGCATCATATGAAGTGACTTTATAATAATCATAATGATCTTGCACTGATAAAAATGATTTTGCGGTGAAGTAAATACTACAGATTTTTGTTTATTTATTTACATGAAAACGTTAGTTCAGGCAAGAAAAAAAATGCAAATTCTATATTAGTACTCAATTCAAGCGTGTAGAAATGAAGCCGTAAATATCAACATTATAAAATTAAGTAAAATGACTCAACTTTTCTGATGGTGTTCTGATCATCCCATCAATTAACAAAGTTGATTTTTCACCGTTTTATCAATGCTATTGTTGTTAGGACTAGTACTGTATCTTGCAATCTTGTGAAATTTGGAGTTAATTTTCAACTCAAAATGACACATTCAAACACAAAAACGATCCATCAAATGTGCCCGTCATTGTGACACCATATCTATATGTTTCAAAGTAAAGCATGTACTTTGAAAATGTGGTTATATCAATGTTATATTGTGTGACTGAAATTAATTACAAAGGTATGTTCAACTAAATAGATTATATTAAACCTTTTACTTGACAAGTTAAGATTACTTAATTTGTTTGGTACTATATCACTAATCTTATTTAAGTAGAGTTTACTTAATTCCATTTCTAAAATTCCAATTTCTCTAATTCCATTAATTCCAAACTTTAAAAACATTGTGCAAAAAACTTGCCAAAATAAGTAATTTTCACTTATTGTTTTTTTAACTGCTCTATTCAAATTGCTTTAATTTTTGATCTCTTTATGAACATTTTAATACGTTAGATAAGAGAAGTCGCAGCAAGGGGTGTGAAAGAAAACTTAACACTCAAAATTATGTGTGACAGCTTCTCAAAGTAAGTGTATGAGTTCACAGAATTAGATGTGAACTTGAGTTGTAGCAAATGATTCTTAAATCCTAAAACATTAAATCATCAACATACATTAAATGTTGGAGTATCAGAAATATTGCATGTGTGAGTTATTTCAAAAATATTTTAAATAAAATGATGACCAATTATAGAACCATAAAATGTCCCTTGAACACGGGTGTGAAAGAAAACTTAACACTCAAGTTATGTGTGACTCATCTTCTTAGAATGGATGAGAAACTTCAGTTCACAGAATTAGGAGAGTGTGCATGTGTGGTTTCAGAGTAAAACAATGTACGTGTCTTAGAGGATGGGCATTAAGATTGTGTTGCGGGACCTGAGTGCATTCTCCTCTCTACAACCAGCTTTACTTTCACAGTTGAGTTTGAACACGTGAAGATGCGTGTGTTCACCGTGAGCGTCTCTGCACTGCTGGTGCTGTTGTTTTCATGCACCACGTCTAAAGTCGTTGACTCGTTCAGTAAATGCGATTACTTTTTTAAAAGAACGTCTCCGGTTATCCCTAAGATTCTAAACAAATCAGTTGCACAGGACGGTTATAAAATAATCTGTCAACAATATAACAAACTTACCAGGTTCGCAACACTGTATGATATAAATAAGAGGATCCCTGTTTTCTCGGCTTACAAATACACCAGAAGACAAGAATTCGAGAGTCTAAAAAAGATTCAATGGATGATCGAATCGCAGGTAATGTTGTTTTCATATGTTTTTAACTACTAAAGGATTGTTTTACTTGTTTATTGACCAATTATTTCTATTCTATAGCTTGAACCTTCAAGTTATGAAACCAACGTGCCATTCATCAATCAGGCTTGCACTGGAGACTATCACGATAACAACCAAAATGTGCGTCCCGGTCAGCTATTTCCACCCGGTCATGCAGCTGATGGAGAAACCGCTATATCTACATTCACACTCACCAACAGTATCCCACAGAAGGACAACTTGAGGAACGGCAGGTGGACTCGCATGGAAAACGAGAAAATTAGAAGAATTTCTGTTTACAAAATGGAAAAAACGAGTACAATTGTTTTACAATAACTGTAATAATTAACATACCACTGAAACATGTATAGCATGATGCAGAAACATTATGACATCTAACAAGCTTCTATCTTGATTTCTAACAAGCTGTCCGTAATTAAAGGTTGTGCTTCTTAGAGTGTAAATGCTTTTTCTTCTTTAATAAAGCTTGCATTTGCAAATGTTGGAGCTTGTGTGCATGTGCATGATTGCAAGCGAGTTAGAACACAAAATAAAAAGAAGAGAAGGCAAAAGTATGTGATTAAAAATGCCTGCAGATCTGATTGGACCAAATCGGTATCCCTAAATGTCAATTTTAAACTGAAATCTTGATGCAGAATTAAAATAGTTCTACCAGAAAGACTCGGGGGAATAATACTGTAACAATTAACCATTTATTAACAGCCCAGCAGCAATATTATGATAGAAAGTACTTGGCGTACACTCTCAGAAAAAAAAGGTACAAAAGCTGTCACTGGGGCTGTACCTTTTCAAAAGGTAAACTTTTGTCCATTTCAGCTAATATGTCCATTTTAGGTACTAATATGTCCATTTCAGGAGCTAATATATCCATTTTAGGTCCAAATATGTACATTTTAGGTGCTAATATAAACATTTTAGGTGCTAATATGTACCACTAAGGTACCAATATGCAGCCTTTGGGTACAAAAGTGTACCTTTTGAAAAGCTACAGCCCCAGTGACAGCTTTTGTACCTTTTTTTCTGAGAGTGTAGGCCCCGTCCATAGCTCGCAATCCGAGGGTCCGGACTCTGCATTTCCTGCCTGAAGGTGAAGGCAGGGGCGCAGTGAGGTTTGGGGACCTCACTGTTTCTCTCCCCACCGCCACCATGACACACAGCAAAACTGTTGAGTCTCACTTGTGCCATTGTTGTTCTGGGGTGCGTTTCCCGAAAGCATCGTTAGCCAACTATGGTCGCAATTTCCATTGAACTCTATTGGTAACGACGGAACTTACGACCATAGTTGGCTAACGATGCTTTCGGGAAACGCACACTGATCAATGTTTTCAGCAATGACATTTCTTTCAGCCTCAGCTGATGAGACAACATGATCAAACTCAACAAGAGCAAGCCTTATATGCCTTTTTAAAAGTCAGCAAACATAAAATAGCCTGTTGTCATGATCTTACACTATGTGCACCTCACAAAGAAGTGCACACACACACACACACACACACTAACGTTTAATTTTGCCAGCTTTCTCCTGCAATCCATGTTTTCACTGGTATACAGCAGGGGGCGCTATTACGAATCTTTTGAAAAATTATAGAATATTTCAACCCGATCTCACGGGAATTCGTACGAATTTTACGAGGTGGCTAATTCGTAACAATTTGTACGACCTCACTCGTACGATTTAGCTAAATCGTACATATTTTACGAATTAGCCAATTCGTATGAATTCGTACGAATGACCTACCCCTGACCCCGCCCCTAAACATAACCGTCACGTGGGTTTAGACAAATCGTACAAATTTGTACGAGTGAGGTCGTATGAATTAGTACGAATTAGCCACTTTTGAATCACTCGTACGAATTCGTACGAATTGGTCGTGAGATAGGGTAGAATATTTGGTTCAAAACTCAGCCACAGAAGCAGCAGACACAAGCAATAAGCTTTTTCAAAATGTTATTTTTTATAAAACTTACACACAAGTCTTAATTTAAAAAGCATGCTTGAAGCTAGAATGAATTATTGTTGTTCTTTTGGATTTTTTTTAAAGCAGAGGCTCTGTTCCTTTTTTATACTTTGCATGTTCAGATATTCATACAACAACATTTAGAGACATGAAAATTTAGTGAATATATATTATATATATTTGACAAGTTATGAATCCAAATATTTTCTTGAGAATTTTTTTTTTTTTTGTATAGTTCTGTGAAGTTAAGAAGATTCATTTTGGCACCATTTTACATTTGAATTCTTTATTTTTATTTTGCCAGCAGCTGCCAGTGTGTGGTGTCTAAAACAAAAGTGTTGCGTTTATAATTTTAGTCAGTACGTTTTAAAATCTATTTAAAAATGTGTTTTAAAATTGTTTGTGGAAGCTAAAATAATATATGATCACACATGAAGTCAGTTTTCAAAAATAAAAATAAAAATCTAAAAGCTACTCAAGCTACTTCATAACTACAATTAGACCTGGAACTTATTGCCATTGTTATTTATTTTTCCTTTATTATCTTGAAGCCCTTTTAATCCTTTAAATAGTCAAATCAATGGACACTTCTCTCTTCCAGCTAATTAGGTGCCAAGACCTCAACTGAAGTCAAGTCAGTTTAAGTTACACACTACAAATTATTTATTTAAAGGGGACATAATATCATGCAAAATCCACTTTTTTAGCCCTTAAATGCATTTTGTTGTATATTTGGAGTGTTTATAAGTACAGAAAAGATGAAAATATTCTCTTCAGGTGCTTCGTTTATATCTTTATATTCTGTTTTGGTCATATTTTTCAACCTGTTCAGATTTTTCTGTTTATGACGTTTTTTTTAATTATCACGTCACCGTATTTGCAGCAGAACTGACAAATAAGGACATTGACTACCGGCCCAACACTTCGAGCAATCCGCCATTATTATTTCTCGCTCCGATTTTGTAGTCCAAGTTCAATGATGCAGAAGTTACAAGAGGGCAAGTCAAAATGGGACTTGAACCGAGTGTGAACTCAGCGACTTGGAGAGCGGGCGGGGAAAGACACAACTCCATTTTATTTAAAGGGGCCGCTTTGAAAAGGGTCGCTCACAGACGCACATCAGAAAAAGGGTAGAAAAGGGGCCTGTAATGAGGAATTCAGACCCAAGCATTGCAGTTATGCTTTATATAGACCACAAATGTATGATTTATAAGTAAAAATGAATGATTTAAAAGCAAACAAACAACTTTAAAGTAGGAGATAAAACTAATAAAAACATTTTACTGTCTAAATATTAGTTGCTATATCTGCTTTTCAGACTTATTACTTCATTATTTCCTGTCTGTATGAAAGTGAATGACATTTTATGACTTCCTTATTCTGAACAAAGAGAATAAGAGAAGCACTCAAGACTCAGCGGACACGTCTTCTGCGAGCTCGTGAAATGGATTCAATCTATGAAAATACTGATTTCAAACTTTCAACAGTTTCTTCAGATGAAAAATGTTCTCAACACAGAGGTAAGGCTGATGATGTTAGTATATACAGAATTTATATTTCTAATATTTAGCACTGCAGTAACCATATAACATTTTATAATTCAACATTCATTCAACAATTACACATTCGGCAGATGGTTTTTTCAAAAGTGATTTATATTGTATTCAAGGTATAAATTTGATCCATTCACGTGTCCCCTGCGAATCAAAAACTGTCAACTCTGTAATTTAACACTCATATTGTGTGTGGAGTCAATATGATCCCAATCGACTATTACTGTTAAAATAACACGGTTCCCTTCATCTCATGCCATAAGATTTGGTGACTTTTATACATTATCTATACATACACAAAAAAATGGGCTTGATTAGGTTGTTCTGAAGGCATGTAAAAAATAAATTAATTAAAAAAATACACTCAAATCAATGGGAAAAGTGGGGGGGGAAATCAATAAATCCAGCATAAATCTGAAACTTTTTAGCAAATTTAGCTAATTACATCAGCTAAAAATGCAGAACACGGGTATGATGGAGTGAGACCTAATGCATACACAACTTCGAGAACGTTTACGCTGAGATGTACCCGGACTTTATGTCTAATAAAGAATTTAATTACAATTTAATTAAATGATTTCAGTTTGATTGCATTACAAATTAAATATAAGCAGATTCTACTATTGGTATAAAATGTTTTAAAATTAACAAAAGTTTATTCTATGTGAGCAATCCGAAATATCACGGTTGAGATGACAAATATGTGAGGTAATCATGCATGGTGATGACTGGAGAACTGTGGACTAGACAGACATTGAAGCATTTATTGGTGTGCACATTCTTGCGGGAGTTTGTCTGTCAAACGATGAGGGCCTGTCCAGTTTGTGGGAAGATTGGACGTGCAATTTCGGGCTGTCATATCGCTACAAAGATTCAACAAGATTCAACTGACAAGCTGACAGCAATTTGTGATGTCTGGAATCAGTGGGTTAAGCATCTCCCACTAGTGACACCCTGGTGCCATTTAGAGGTGGATACACCGAAAAGCCTCAAGGTGGACCGCCAGAAAAAAAAAAAAAAATCAAGCATGCGTGTGGTCCTTGATTTGACCTTTGGTCTCCAAGGGCACACAAACAACTTCATCATGTAATGCCCTTGGCCAGGAGCCATGGGCAGAGGGCGAACCAAATCTAGATCTTAAAACATTGGAGGAATCAACTTAAAAACTAAAAATATAATAATAATAATAATAAAATATTAGGAAATAACTACATGTTGCCCATCAACAATCTCCACATCCCAGAATAAACACTCTTGTTATTAAAGTGGTTATGTTCACAAACTACTATAATTTGAATAGGCAAGCACATGCGTGATTTGGCATATCAGGCAGTTCTAATAATAAATAGGCTAATAGCCTTACCTAATGCAGGAAAAACATACGACTTTTACACACACCACCACTATGATAGGGTGGTGGTGGCGGCGCAGTGGATAAGACACATGCCTTTGGTGTGAGAGACCCAGGTTCAAATCTACTGTGAGACACCAATGTGTCCCTGAGCAAGACGCTTAACCCCTAGTTGCTCCAGAGGCGTGCGACCTCTGACATATACAGCAATTGTAGGAGTCGCTTTAGAAAAAAGCATCAGCTGAATAAATGTAAATGTAAAATGCATGAAAAGAGGAACTTGGCTCTGTTCTGCTTAGCATCAGTGTAAAAAAGTGTTCAGTTCACTTGCTTAAAGGAAAAAATCTGTATTTTATACTTAAAGCCCTGTTAAGATTGTTCTGTTTTAAAGCCACACTATGCAGCTCTGATGTTTTTGTGAAACAGTGACCACTAGAGCCGGTGTGGTGTACTTGCACTGTCATAAATAACCGCAACTCCCCTGAGTCTACTGAACTACTGATGGTAATAGGTTAATAATAACTATATTTCAAGTGTTAGACTACTTTATAATAATAAAGTTGCCTATCGAGTTTGCTGGCTTATAATGTTTTTACATGATTTCTGCTAAATCACAAGTAAATAGCTAATAGTGTAATTTCATTTGTGTTTTTTGATTGTAATGTAAACATTACAAAATGTCGGATGACATCAATAAAGTTAAATGTACATAGCATTATTTCATAACATTGGCCGTTATGATTTCATTAGACATGATTATTACAATTTATCATAATAGTTAGCAAATTGTGCTCAATTACACTATTTACAACCTCTAGGCTTATTTATGTCCTAATAATTATGTGAGATATTGACTCATGATATAATCACAGGAATCAACATCAACAGCGTCAAGATTTAATCGACTCATAATCAACACAAATTGAAGAAAAGTTACAGTCGGGAAGTGCACTGCTAGCCAGCTAAAGTTTGTATAAGCACAGTACGCACGCCATAAGAAATCTGAACCAGACACAGAACTGACGTTACGTGATAAATACACACCACAACACCTGAGTTCAGCTGGCAAACTATAGCTCTTGTGGCAAGCTCGGCAATAAAACATAACGAAAATAAAAAAACAAAACTAAGAGAAACGACTGTTTGTTAGGAAGTCTGCTTACAGCTCTGGTAATTGAAAGCTAGCTATGGGAGTTATTGAACTGGTCTAATTATAAACAATGGTCAATGGATGAATGAACAGCACCGTAAAAAATTACATACTACATGCCAGCGCAACAAACATAGCACGCAAACAAGTTTACAATTAAGAGATTTACTTACAAGTCCACAAGATCGGCAGGTCAGCATCGCTGTTGCATTCAGTGCTACTTTTAAGCTCGCGTCAACGAGTGAAAGGCCGACCGAGAGAGACTCCTGTCCGGTTTCTCTTTTCCTTTTTCTGGACATTCCTGACCGAGTTTTCTTGGATGCGCGCAAGTGGCTTCATTCATACACGCAGCTGGTATCTTTTGAATCTATTTTACGAAATATCTGAAACTCTTTCAGTATCAATATGTATAAAAAAAAAAAACAATATTACTGCCAACACTAGATTGCACTTAGTTTATTATTTCAGATGCCTTTTTAAAAGACTACAATTGAAAAATGTATATTATATAAAATTCAACTCACCATAGTGTTACGTCCCAGAAGTAAAGTTGTCTAGGTGTAAGGAGTAAACAGTGAAAAGGAAAAGGAAATAAACATGCCTATTCCGTTTCCAGCCCTGTACGACAGACACATCAAATTATAGTCCAAAAATGTATTAACAAGATGGGTATAATTATCAAACAAAACATAACCACTTAAATTACCTCAGGAGGGGGTAAAATGCCAAAATAACAAACACAAGTAGGCCTACCCTATGACTAGTTGGGGAGTAAAACTTAATCTGGCAAAAATAAACAAATGAACAACAGAAAGATACACTAACTCCCTAACTAGCCAAAAAAAAAAAAAAAAAAAAAAAAACAGGAGAAAAAGTGATTAAAAAAAAAAAAGAAAATAGGCACCCACCTCCCTACAGCTCCTTGACCGTGTGGTTTTCAAACAAAAAGATTATCACAACCATAGACACAAAACAAAAAGAGAATAGTAGCAGGCTCCAACAAGCCTTAGCTGGGTGAGCAACTACAACAATCTTAACACTGCACAACAGCAGGTTAGTCAACAATGAGAAACAATCTCAGTACACAACACTCTGGAAGGCAAATCTTCTCCCCACCAGTTTGGATGTTCTCTGAAACTTCTTTTGAGCAGGTAGCGTCTCCAGTGCAACAAGCGGCAGGTGTGACCAATCACCTCTCTCTCCTCCCCACTTGGTAGAGCTGCAAAATTACAGAGAGAGAGAGAGAGGAGGGAGAAAAAAAACACAGATCCCCAGCACTGCCAAAACAACCACGGAACGTAACAACAGTGACTAGTGTCATGAGCCTGGTTCTTTCCTTCTGTTTTCTTTCCTTTGTCTCCCTCTGCTGGTTAGACCTTATCATTTCTTCTAGTTCCACACGCATACACATCCATTAGGTGTGTTCGACATCGCCTGCGGCTGGATGCAACCGATCGGCGAGAACAGCCGCGTGCAGGCGGGGAGGAGCTGCAAACGGAGACGTGAAGTCTGTCGGACAATTTCTGGTTCCCACGTGACCGCTCACGTGGTGTTTGCATGGTTATACCACAGCTGAAGTGAAATAAGTGCAACATTTGCCAAATAAACAGATATTTCAGACACATTTTCATTCAATACGTTACTGCTTCATACAGCATCTGTTTGAACTAGAATAAAGTTCAAAATAAGCTTATAATCAATGACGTGGAATATGTTTTTTAATCAGTTTTATTTTGTTAAACATGATAAACATGACACAATATAACATTGCGACTACATTAAGAGTACAAAAAAGAGTGTATAAAATACTGATTTGTGAGCTTAAGTGGAACTAAAGGTGTGAGAATAAACACGAAACACACGTGATCGTTGTCATGCGGTGAATCCGGCGAATCGTGGAACAGCTGTGACATCATCAGAGCTCGTGCAGCCGCTCTTGAGAAGCTGCGCTGGCTGAGTCCTCCGGCTACTCTCGTATCGCTTTTGCGGTACTTTGATGGCATACATCACAGTCACGTGGAGTCAGCGCTGCATCAAGTCGGACAAAATTTCTAACCGGCATAGATACAGTCGGTTGGTCTGGGAACGCCCCCGGGAACGCCCCGTCACGTGGTGTGAATTTAGCCCGTGGGGGAAAACATTGCCTTGGCGCTCATTGAAATACATGGGACAATCATGCCGAAGAGTTGCGGTGTCGTTTTCTGTACCACCAATAAACTAACAAATTATAAATTGAAGTTCTACAACCTTTCTTACATACATGCAGAACCGGATAGGAGGACAAAACGGCAAAATTAATCATATCTTATTAGATTACTGTGTGAGTAGAGGTCCCTGTGTGATATAGTAGTAGATGTTTAACTCGTATTAGGCAGTGGGCCAGATTTGTCTGACTTTACATCCCTTACGAAAAAGAACTATAGTAATCCTATGGCTATTAGTATTCTATAGTAGTGTATAATACTTCTGTGATGTTCTTTAATACCTCTATACTTCTAGGCTATGTCCCAAAATACTATAGTATTCATATAGGATTAACGTTACTATAATATTTTGTCCTCAAATACTACAAGATTCCTTTAGTTGTTTTTCATAAGGGATGTTATTAGCGTTATCAGCTGAAGGTTATCAGACTGCAGTCTGTGAGAATTCGGATAACTGTCAGCAAAGTCCCTCTGCAACTTCACAGCTACTACTACTGATCACCGTTTTACAAAAGGATTAATAGTTTTGAGTGAAGCATACGTACAATTGGTAAGTGACATGGTTTTATGGACTTATAATAACTTATACGCAAGTTGATTGAGTAATAGGCTTGTGTTGCAGCTTCCGCGATGTCTGGAGATTCAACCAGATATAATAGTCTGGAAACAACACCTCCGGCCATTTGGTTGGGTCATTGACCCAGTTTTTAATTAAATAAGGGCAATCATAACCTATTACAGTTAATTTTGCAATGTACCGTTGCCGGTCGGCAGGCATAAATGACTCGCAATATGACATTTTTGTCATTCAAATACATAGGATGGTCGCGCTGCTTTCCCCCACGCCGACCACGCCCCCCAACTATGACGCGTTGCCGACTGTATCTATGCACTGTTTCAAGTCAGCCGCCGATCGTTCTGCGCAGAGCTGCATGAAGTCGAACAAGCCTATTGTCTCTTCCTCTCATTACAGTCAGCTGACTCTCATGTTCTCATCAACTACACACCTGTTCTCTATCTTCTCCTCATCTCCACGCTACTTCTAGCTTTCTCTTTCTCGTCTGAATTTTCGGATTATTGTTTGACCCTTACGTTGGATCGCTGTCGTATGATTCCTCTCAGTAATTGTTTCACCAGTCCTGTCCTGTTTGGTCCTGCGTGTCTGACTCGACCATTGCCTACCGCTGTTCTATACTGCTTCTGTATCACTCTCAGCAGTCGCCGAGGAGAGTTGCGGAGGGTCTACCTGCAAGAGCGCTGTATCGACTTCATAGCTCCTGACTCCTCTGGGTAGCCAGCTGAGGTCCACTATCTCCGTCTGATCCTGCTACAGAGCTACTTTCTGTTTCCTTCTGTGAAAAGACTCTTTCTGTTGATTCAGCCTGTGAGGCGGTCATTTATTTCTCATTAAAGTACTGACGTTTTTCTGCAACCTACTCTGGACTCCTCTGTTCCTTGACATTGAAGTGACTGCGTTCACCAACGCTGAAATCCACCCGTGTTAATGTCAAGCCCTAATGCTAATTATGCTAGCAAAATGGTAACAACATACTTATGCCAGCATCGTGCTAATCCTGCTAAAATCATGCTAACAACCTGCTAATCATTTTAACATTATGCTAGCAACATGTTAATCGTATTAGGCATCTGCCCAGTGCCGAGTTTTGCCACTGCAACCACTGCTCACATTTTCTTCACTTACAACTGTATAAGGTTGAGTCCGATAATTAATTACGCAAATGCTTTTTTTCTCTAGTCAATGTGTTGAAAATGTACTCTATTCAAAAATAATTATTTAAAGGTGCTATATGTATTTTTAAGCGGCCTCTCTGTGATGTTTCAAATTGCAACCAATTTTTATAAGAAGCAAACACTCATGGTACACAGCCACACTGAGACTTTCAACACACGGAGATGCTTCATCACACAACTTGAAACTTACATGTAAACTCTGCCGATGTTGATCTGTGTTTTGTTGATTGATGTTGATTGACGTTTGGCCTGACGAGCCAAATGTGTTGGTGTTATCAGACTCATGTCGTTCGCTGCAGTGCCGTTGCATCAACTGTATATAAAAGGAGAGAGCAGAGGCTCGGGAGCGCACATGCACGTCACATCCGATGGATTTCGCAGAAAATCCGACCCAGAGACTTCACATAAAAATAGGAAAACTGGCCTTCAGAGGTAATAGTAAAACCCGACAAGTGGATCATTGTGATGTGTGATTACAACTTCTTCACACACAGGCAATAAAAAAGGATTCATTTTAGAAGAAAAGTTACATATAGCACCTTTAAATTAAAATAAATTAATTTGAAGATATGAACCCGGTGTAAATTCAGGAATGGTTTCAGACAGAAATGCTGCAATGATTCAAGGTTCAAAAATAATTTCATTTTTCTCATCAAATTTCTAACCCCAGGTAACACTGAAGAGAGAGCGAGAGAGAGAGAGAGAGCGAGAGAGAGAGAGCGAGCGAGAGAGAGAGAGCAAGAGAGAGCGAGAGAGGTCACTTCTTCTACGTGGACTAAAGTTCCTCTGATTGTTCTGGGTGTCTCTCTTGTGTTTGCTCTCGGAGGTCTCTGTGCTCTCGGGGTGATTTGTAAGTATATCTGATATACTAGATCTCTGCTCTGTTCAGGGTTGTATTGACTGAGTTACTGGAAGTACTTTTACTAAAACACAATGTTGGTGTCACGAACACACACAGGGGTAATCGTGACTACAAATCGTAGTCTTCCAGGCAGGGGTCAAAATCCAAATAATCAAAACAAGAACAAGCTAGACCAGACCTTAGAAGTGGTGTAGAACAACGACTCCGTACACATACTAACACAGACAGGGAATATATATTACAGATCTAACAAGACTAACAATGAACAGCTGGGAACAATGAACTAATGAGTGACATTGACAGACAGAATGCTGGGAAATGAAGTCAATAGTGAAGGACAACGAATCATAAGTAAAATAAAAGTAAAATCATACTTTTCAGCAAGCTATTTTATTAGGCAATATTGTCAAACAAACCTCCATATTTAAGCTGTAAACTGTGATTGATTGAGCCTGAAGACATTTACAGAATGGTTTGTAGATAATTTCAGTCTTCAGTGTGCATGATGTGGACTTTCCTCCAAACAAACACATTTTCCACTTCTGCTTTTGTGTTTAATCAGATAATCATAAGCTTGCTGATTTCGAATCACTGAATGAGGAGAACATCATGATTTCAGAGACACTGACGGCTCAAGAGATCAACAGCGCAGGTGAGAAAACTATAAACGGTCGAGCACAGACAAGTTTCATTAACAGTGTTGAGTGCTCGTTGAACTCCCCATGTCAGAATCAGTATCTGCTTGTTGTCCCATATTCTCCAAGTTATGAAAAGAGCATTAGAGGAACTTAAAACCAACTACACCAGAGTAAGAGAACAGTTTCTGCTTCATGTTGGTGAGTTGGCTTTTATTTGACATTTTTATAAAATAAAAAAAAATGTAGCCTCATTTTGTTCTGGTCATTTTGACCCAGAGAGGATTATTTCCATACCTGGAAATGCTAGTTAATTTTATTGCATTGAACTAAAATTGACTGACTTTACTCACACAAAGTCTAAAATGTATACATTTTGTACAAAATGGCACAAAAGTCACACTTGTGGTGTTTCTGGTCAAAAATGACCAGCCTGCAAAAAATAGCATATTATAAATCGGTTGTTATGCTATTTTATCACCAAATATTAGATTCAATCTTTTTGTCATAATTTAAATGACATAACCTGTACTATTTTAAAGAAATGACACAATGTCATGAAGTGGGAGGTGAATCCAGGTGCAGACAGGATGCAGTGACACAAAGATTATTATAGACACAAAACAGAGAAAACAAACCCACGAGGGGGCAAAACATGAACAGCAAAAGAAATGACAAGACTAGACTAGGACTGATGAATATGGAATATGACTTTTAGAAGTGTATTAGGGTTTTCAACACAGCACAAGGGTTAAAAATGCCATAATCTTCTGTTCTGACATTAATTTTCTAAATGTCTTCTTGTTTATATTTTACTATTTAATTGTCTTTTCACCAGATATGAAGAAAGAGTTCAAAGATCTTGCAGCCAGATACGACACACTTAGAGAATGGCTGTCCTTTAATGATGGTGAGTGTCAGTTTACAAGTTGAGTGTGATAAAAAGTGTGAATATTTCTGCACATGAAACCGGTTTAATTAACTTTATGATCTAAATAATGGAAGGTTTAATCACAATTTATTCATCTTTCACAGCTCAGTCTTGTCATCTGTCTGTGAATGGCTGGATTGCTTGTCGTGGAAAGCTGTATTTATTCATCTCTGATGAACTGAACTGGATGAGCAGTCGAGATGTCTGTGTTTCAAAAGGAGCCGATCTGGTGACCATAACCAGCCAATCAGAACAGGCAAGTCAGATCAACTATTAATTATTAGACATTTTATGCAAGCGTTATGAAAATGTGACATACAGCTGATTTGATTCAAGTTTTGATCACACTGTTAAAAGTTTTATTTTAAAGGATTCTTTGTACTTCTAACGAAACAATTATTTGCATCACTTTTGTATATTTTCTCCTGTAGGATTTTCTGGTGTCTAAAATTACAGTGACACACTGGATTGGTCTGAATGATCTGGACACTGAAGGACACTGGGTTTGGGTGAACAACCAAACTCTCAATGAAACTGCAGTACAGTAAGAACTCTGCATGTGTGAACTTTAGCTATTTATATATTATATATATTATATATGAAGAGTTAGATGCAAAAGCCTCTAAGTGCCATTTGAAATTTTCTTCTAAAATGATCATTTTTATCAAGCTTGTATATTTAAGTTCAGTGATTTCACTTAAATGGCAATGAAGATTACCTATTAATTGCCATTTAAGTGAAATTACTGAACTTAAATATACAAGTTTGATAAAAATGGTTATTTTAGAAGAAAATTTCAAATGGCATTTGGAGGCTTTTGCATCTGAACTCTTCATATATATATATATACACATATATACAGCTATAGTCCCCACTATATATATACTTCCCATAGTGATGGGTAATGGTTAAAAATGGTAATATTAGTTGCTTGATTCTTTATTTTCATTTTTTTGGCGTGATAACCTAATTGGTGTTTTTTTTTTCTTGTTTCAACCATAGACAAAATGCATTATTGTTTGTTTGTGTGTTAAAGGTTCTGGTTCACTGGAGGGCCGAGAGAACCTGATAACTGGAGAGTACAGGATCCGTCTGGAGAGAACTGTGCTAGTCTGGGAGATGGGAAGGGCAATTTTCAATCTTGGTTTGATGCTTCTTGTAAAAAAGTAAAGAAGTTTATCTGTGAAAAGAAATATTAATTTACTTCCATCAGTGATACTGTAACATGTCAGTTTGTCTTGGGACTTCTTTCTGTTTGTATTTGTTCAGTTTACCAGCACTCTTTTTCACTCTCATCTTTAGTTCAATTGTTTCATCTGTGTGTAATTAATCATCTCATCTTTTACAACAAGCAATTTTATTCTGTTCTGCCAAGAAGTCACTAATGCAGTTGTCCTCTAAAGCTTTGTTTGTAAAGTCCCTTATTTGTTAGTCGCTTCAATGATAAAAGAGTGTAATAAGTGTGATTTATAATGTTATTTTATTATGCAGACGCATTTAGAAATTGATTTGATTGTGTGAGACATCTGAAGGGTTGAAAACATTAATGCTGCAGGAATATATCTGTCCACAGTCTTTATACACCATTGTATGCCATGAATTTTGCTTTTTGTTGAACCTAGGAATTATTACTTAAATATTTATGCCTGTCAAAATATAATAATTCAAAATAAACCTACCCGATTCATCTAACTGATGCATTACCTTTAGCGTCAGTTAGATGACGCCCTAGGATCGCGTCATGTAACTGACGCTAAAGGGTGCCTAAAACGTTGGATTGAAGCATGGTCAAAATTGTCAGTTAGATGACGCCTTGGGATGAGAATGCGTTGCAAATTTGGGTCAAATATGGACAAACCTAAATGCTGGGTTAAAAATGTCATTTACAATTTTAACCCAACTTCAACTTTCACTTTCAAATGCAATTTTTTTAAGTACATTTTTAACCCAACAATTTGGGTTTGTCCATATTTGGGTTGCAACAACCCAGCATTTTTTTTTTTTTTTTTTTTTTGAGTGTAATGAAGTGTCCAATTGAAGTACACTCTAAAAATGCTGGGTTGTTTTAACCCAACTTTGGGTCAAATATGGACAAACCCAAACGTTGGGTTAAAAATGAAATTAAAAAAATTTAACCCAATGGGTTTGTCCATTTTTGACCCAAAGTTGGGTTAAAATAACCCAGCAATTTTTAGAGTGTAGTCAAAAGGGACTGCAATGAAGGCTATATTCATGGCATACAGGTGAAATGCAAGGGAAAACAAGGCATCAAAATAGAGGCAAAAGCATACCGGTGTTGTGCCAAATTTCAACCCCCGCCAAATTATCAAAAAATGAACCACCGCATATCCTACTCGAGACGGAGGCTGGGACAGTGGGTAACACTGACTGTTCATGCAAAGCTGGGTAGGTCTCTATTCACTTCTATTAATCGACAAAGCAAACGGACTACACAAGTATAATGTTGTATTTATTAGCAATGTGTACTAGCGTAACGTTATCTCACAAGGTAATGTTTTGATTAGCAAAAAGTGTGCTTGTTGATCCTTGAGGGGTTTAGCTGACTGTGAGGACGTCCACACAGTTTAATACTGTATAAAGACGACACTTGTCAGGATTTGACTTCGGTTTTGGGAAGGGAAAAAAACAGACACCCCCCTCCAACCTCTCTGGGAAACACGTATCTGTGTTACAAATGCCCCAGGCACAGTTTAACCATATTTTTGATAAAACTACAACAGTAATAGCCTGCCGAGACCAAAAATATGAGACGCCTGTGTTGGAATTAGCTGTAATTCAGCTATTAGCTGTAATTAAAAAAAAACAGTAATTCATCTGTAATTCAGATTCAAAAAACATAGGAATTAGCTGTAATTCAGATGTGCAATGTGCAGTCCTCACCAGAGGTGTGTTTCCCCTACAGCGAAGTAACTCGCTGCTTAACTACCATTGTACGGTGCATCGTTAAAGAAATCAAGCAGCCAGTTAGAACTGCTTCCCAAAACCATGTTGTCACAAATTATGTCAATGTTAATGATGTCACATACATGGTGGAGTGATAACTTCTTTAATTAATCTCTTTGAGATCGAATTAATGCTAGATCATTTGCTATAAATTACAGACATGGCATCTGAGGACCATTTCTCATTTTTATCAGTTAGTTTGCTTTATTTCCTGATTTAATCTAGGCTTGTTCTTATGTACTAGAGCACGTTCGCACATGCACACTCTTCAAAAACGCACACTTTTTAAATCTCTTGGAAATCTAATGACGTTTGTATGTATTCTAAATAAAAGATACAGATTGTACTGAATGTCAGCTTGCTTATTTGGCTCAAAATAAGGATTTATTGAATCCACATGTCATGCAAACAAGAAACTCTGCTTCTAACAATCGGTTGAGAGATGTTGTTCCAACCACACAACGTTGCAAGGCTATTTGTGAATGTTGGCTAGAACAATGGTTTCAGGAAAAACGACTCGTTGAACTGTGATGATAACGATGGAACTTGTGATGGAGTACCACAAGGCTTAGTATTAGGACCATTGCTTTTCACCCTGTACATATCATTAGAAAGCATGCCATTAATTTTCACTTTTACACTGATGATACTCAAATCTATATTTTTCCGCGCCCTGACAAAACATAACAATTCACAAAATAAACTGAATGCACAGTTGATATAAAAAATTGGAGGACTAGTAATTTCCTACTACTAAATTCAGAATTTCTCAATCACAACAAAAGCTCTCAAAAAAAAAAAAATGTAGAAAAGTTCATGACCTCAAGGCTAGATTATTGTAATGCTCTTATGTGTGGTTGCCCTGCACGCTTAATAAACAAACTCCAAATGGTCCAAAACACAGCAGCTCTGAGCTCTTACTACCAGGAAGCATCATATTAGTCCGTTTCTGTCAACACTGCATTGACACCCTATTAAATAAATCAGAAACATTTAAAAATTTGTCTAATTATTTACGAAGCATTATGGTTTAGCTCAGTAATTGAGCAAGGTATTTGCGCATTATAGTCCTTTACATCTATTGCAATTTCAAAATTATGGCCTGTTGATAATACCTAGTAAGTCAAATGTACTTTATCAATGTATCAATCAATGTACTTTAAGTGTACTTATCCAAATAAAAGCTAAGTACATGGGTTAAGTTAAGATTTCGAACCAATTTATAGTAATCACAAACTAAAAATGTGCTCATGCTCCTCATACAAAACCACTGACCATAAAGTTGCCATTTGTTGCCAATTAAAAATACAAATTATTTTTAAAAAATTAACTTCCAAACACTGTAAATTATAAATGTTAGTTAGTGTTGATCCTTTGACGGGGTTGAAAACCTGATGTTTAACAACACATCTCTTTATCAGCACAAATCTCTGGGGGAAAAAGTTCCAGAATAATACTGTCACACAAGGCTGCAAGGACGTGCATGACGATGTGAGAAATAGCCTTAAATAATTACACAGTCTTTAATAATTAATCAAATAACAAACTCGGGCGAATCAAACCATGTCAAACACAAACATTACCAGATAATGAAACAAAGCAAGGGTGTCAGTTTGATTTTAAGATTGGTGTGGACATCCCCGAAAGCTGAGGATTCAGGAAATGAACAGGATAATGTATTCATGTTTTTAATCTATATTGACCTTATCATAATGTACATTTTGTAATGTTACAGGTAACTAATAATGACAATGAGGCAGTTAAATGCTGTGTTGTTTTAACCCAATTTTGGGTCAAATAAGGACAAACCCAGCCATTGGGTTACATTTTTAAATGACATTTTTAACCCAATGTTTGAGTTTGTCCTTATTTTACCCAAAATTGGGTTAAAACAACCCAGCATTTTTTAGAGTGTAATGCAATACAATAGTCAATGTGTCTACTGTCTTGTTCTCGTTATTTCTGAAGGCCAAACATGTCTGTCTATCATTAACAGAATTGAACTGTTTTTGTTTTTTTTACATCACTATTATCAAGTTATATAATGTTGAGTCTCACTTGTGCCATTGTTGTTCTGATCGATGTTTTCAGTTATGAATCCAAATATTTCCTTGATAAAAGTTTTTGTATAGTTCTGTGAAGTTGTGAAGATTGTTAATTTTGGGGCATCATTTTACGTTTGAATTCTTTATTTTTTTATTTTGCCAGCAGCTGCCAGTGTTTGGTATCTATGTGTCTATTTCTTATTAACTCAGTGGGAGTTGAGTTCATAGTAATGGGTGTATGTATGTAGGCGTTGTCTCTGTTGCTAAACTATTTAAACTTGAACAGGGAATTTAAGTCCAGACCTTTCCGTGGAACTGCATCAGAATTTAAACAATATACCAGCTTTATTTTTTTGGTTTGCGATTGAGTTCAGCTGAAGATGCGTCTGTTTATCGCCTCGATGCTGCCGGTGTTCGGTTTTCCGTTCATCGTGTCAGAAGTTGTAGATTCATTTAATTCATGCAAACAGTTTTTTTTCACTGAACACCCTCCAATGATTACAGGCATTCTGGAGAATTCAGTCTCAAAGGATAATAACCGCTACAAACTAATCTGTCAGAAATATAAGAACGCTTACAAATTTGCAACTCTCTACGACACAAAAAATAGGATCCCTGTTTTCTCAGCTTACGGATATATTGGACATTGTAAAGGGAGACCACAAATTCCATGGATGATCGAGCCACAGGTGAAGTGTCAACTGATTTATTCATATGGTTTTACTTTCTGGCAATAATTTAGTTTCTGGTTTCCTCAAGTTTATCTCTTTCTGCATTATTTGTTCTGCAGCTTGAAGCTTTGAATCCTGAAATGCGTGAACCATGTGTCAATCAGGCTTACTCAGGAGACTACTGGGCACAGAAAAACTTCACTCGTGGTCACTTATTTCCTAACGGCCATTCAGATGATAAAATCACTGCCAAATCTACATTCACACTGACCAACACTGTGCCACAGTACAAGAGCTTTAATAATGGTAGCTGGAATAGCATGGAGCAGAAGGTTAGAAGTTTCATGGATTCTCACTGCCGTGACGAAGACAACCCAAATAACACCTTGGCGTACGTGCTGACTGGATCTGTGCCAAGCAAAAACACACTCTTGAATAAAAGAGTCAACATTCCTTCACACGTGTGGACAGTGTTCTGCTGCTATAACAGCAGTGACAGCAGATGGGTGTCCGAAGCCCACTGGGCTGAAAACATAGATGAGAGTAAAGATCCAGATAAGACTATCAGTGCAAAAACACTGGTGGAATTACAGCAGTTTCTGTCAAAAGCATATAACAGAAAATTCAAATTGTTCAGTAATGACTGTTCAGAACTGAAACAAAAGAAAGTCATTTACATTTACTGAAGATGAGCAAAATCAAGGTGGTCCTCAGGGTCATTACATTAAACTAACTTTTTTGTTACTTGAAAACTTAATTCATTTCAGATAGTTGCTTTGGAAATAAAGTTTAACTTGATGTACTAACATCCCTAAAACTAGAATTAAAATGGATAAAAAGGCATTTATAAACACAATGTAACTTTAACTAAAATGGAAAATATAAAAATGAAAGCTCAAACTAAATAAAAACGACAATGCAATGATATTAAAACGGTTTTAATAACAGTGTTGATAAATGCAAAGACTTTTTTTTACCAGTCTAGTCTGAACTTGCTTTAGTATGTATACGGATTTCTGTGAATAACTCTTGATCCTGTTTTTTTTTTCTTTTCTTTGACAACTTTGTAAAGCCGAACAAATAAAAACTTAATCAATTAAATCATGCTTAATTTTTGTGTTGAACCTGCCACATCAAACATGCCCAGGTTACAGATTTCATCAGGTAATTGATTTTTGAAGCACATCTTAAAGGAGTAGTTCACTTTAAAAAAAAAAAAAAAACACTTTTGCTGATAATTTACTCACCCCCATGTCATCCAAGATGTCCATGTCTTTCTTTCTTCAGTCGAAAAGAAATTAAGGTTTTGGATGAAAACATTCCAGGAATTTTCTCCATATAATGGACTTCAATGGGAACCAAACGGTTCAAGGTCCAAATGAGAGTTTCAGTGCAGCTTCAAAGGGCTTTAAACGACACCAGATGATGAATAAGGGTCTTATCTAGCGAAACGATCGCTCATTTAAAAAATAAATAAAAACGTTTAAGTTTTATGCACAAATGCTCGCCTTGCTCTGTTCTGTGATGAGCGTTCGTGACTCTCAAACTCGTTCTTAAAAATTAACAAATCTTTTCAAGTCATGACTCGAAGGGTCCTAGATAAAACCCTTATTCATCGTCTAGTGCCATTTAAAGCCCTTTGAAGCTGCACTGAAACTCTCATGTGGACCTTGAACCGTTTGGTTTATCAGAATAAATCAGAATAAACCAAATTACCAAACAGTCTAAAAATACATATCTGGAACATTGGGATCAGGAAACCAAAACACAAAGTAAACTACAATTCTATCGAAATCTGAAATCAAATTATGAAATGGAGGAATATCTCCAGAGTGTGAGAGACACAAAGCAGAGACAGATTCTGAGCAAGTACAGGCTGAGTGAACACAGTCTAGCCATCGAGACCGGCAGACACAGAAAGAGCTGGCTACCCCGAGAGCAAAGGGTGTGTGTTCAGTGTAGCACAGGAGAGATCGAAACAGAGACACACTTCCTCCTCCACTGTCACAGTCAGATACAGCTCGATTAGAGACCTCTACTTCAATAAACTTAAAGGGTTAGTTCACCCAAAAATGAAAATTAAGTCATTAATTACTCACCCCCGTGCTGTTCCAACCCCGTAAGACCTTCGTTCATCTTCGGAACACAAATAAAGATTTTTTTGATTTAATCTGAGAGCTGGATCACTCCTACATAGACTGCCTTTGTTCATGTTTCTTCTATTTACCTCATCAGTAGTGTTGGGAATGTTAAGGCTGTTTCATCCGATTTAAAACTAGTTAAAATCATTGAAAATCATTAAAAATCATTTGTGGTTTGTAACAGAGAGGAGTGTCCGATTGAAACGCTTCTCACTGGATGTCGCAACGACGTTTAAAGGTGCCGTCGGCAACATTTTTTTGATCATATTCAGTGAAATCGACACTATAATCCGACAGAAATAAAGTGGTTTTAGAAAACAAAACGATCTTCTAACTCCATCTGGAGCGTGTTATTTGTTTCGCAAAAATCCAGCGCTCCCGGATCATTGGGTGCAATCAGCGCAGGGGGGTGTGAGATCTGACTGTCAATCACAGATCAGGCACACGCCGCCACCCCTCGCGCGCGTTACAATCACATGCACACGCCTGAAGTTCGCGCAGTAAGGAAGAGTGATGGCGGAACACTAACAAACCAAGTAAGCTCATCTAGAGTATAAATGACGTTAGCAATAGCAATATATTGGTAGATTAGCCTGCGCAGCATACCTCCAAATAATCCATGGTGTTGATGGATGCTGATGAGACGGTCGCGTTCACAGATAACCTGGTGCACACGTACTCGTGGGAGTTCAACAGCAGAAGACCCCACCGGGTACCACTCATCTCCACTACAAATAGGAACAAGAGGCGACAATTTGCAAGAGCTCACCAAAACTGGAAAAATGTTGCCTGGTCTGATGAGTCTCGATTTCCGTTTTGCTTAGAATTGTGGGTAGTGTAGTATTTCTCCAGAAGATCACAAATAACAAGGTTGATTTCATACCTTGTGGCTTTTATAGGAGCAGAAACTTTCGTTTCACAGCCTCGTAGTGGTCAATCTACCTTGGATGGTTTTGAAATTATGGCTGAAAATCAATATCCTATGGAGAAAATGAATGGGATTGGCCTGTTTCAATTGAAACGGGTGAAACATAGATAAGGCCCTGTCTAATCCTATGAAACATGTGTCATGTATGAACTTATATACTATACATATACTGAAGTGCAATATTGTCCAATCCACATGTGACACAATGTGGCTTGAAATTACATTGAAATTTATTTTATAAGGTTTCAAAATCTGCAGCAAAATCTAAATGCCAACAATATGAGATTTAATGCTTAATGTTGGGGGCTGTAAATCAATAGTAATCAGCCTCATTGATTATACCTTATATTTTAGAGGTAGTCAAACATTGCCCAGTTTGTTATTCAGACTCATAACTTTGTAACTTCTAGTCTGTATTCATAAGAACTTCCTTTTTCTGAACAAACTCAAGCAGCACTCAAGTCTCGGCGGACACGTCTTCTGTCAGGCTGAATGAAATGGATTCAACCTATGAAAATGAAATGGATTCAACCTATGAAAATTCAGGTTTCATACTTTCAACAGTTGCTTCGGGTGAAAACTGCTCTCAACACACAGGTAAGGGTGGGATGTTTTCAGTTTGCATTTGTTTCTATTTTAATGATTTAGCACTATAGTAATGGTGTATAAGGTTTTCTTTTGTCCAAAGCAACATCAAGGTATACATTTGATCCATCCCACGTTCCCTGAATCAAACGCTGTCAACACTGTAATTTAAATAAAAAAGCTGTCTTCCCTGTTAGCTCAGACTGTAGATCATGATGATACCAACACCCACCCTGCTGAAATATCCAGCATAAACCAGCAAGGGTTCCTGGTATGGTGTTGGTATAGTGCTGGTTTATGCTGGTCTGGCCGCTGGACAAACATATTCATCCTGCTCTCAAGTAAAATGAAGCTGGTGAAGCTGGTTTACCAACATGGTCTTGTGGGGTTGAGTGTGAGAAGGTCATCTGTCTTTATGAAAGCAGTGTTTTGGGAAATTTCAAACTGCAATTGCATAAAGGTGCACATAACGAACCAGCAAGACATGAGGGAGAGGAGCATAATATAGGGAGCATCACATTAGAGTCAGGTGCACACAACCAAGCAAACAAGGACTAGACAAGGTGCATTTAATCCCACATTTCACCGCAATAACGAATCAACCAATGTACGCTCAACGGCTGTCCGAATTCACTCACTCATTTTCAGTCACTCCTTCAAGTGAACTGTATTAGTGGACTAACGTAGGGAAAGGTTGCAGTCTTGTTTTTTAGTCATGTCTTTAGTTTGAAGCTCCAATTATTTATTCCTAGAAATTATTTATTTTGCTTTCGTCTTGTTCATTTTTTATTTTTTTTTTAGATTTCTTTGTTTTCTTTTTCTTTTCTAATTCTGCTACAGTACGTCTCCTCTCTTCACCTTCTACCTCTGCTTCCCCCTGAGCCACTGCCTTTTCTCTGTCATTTGTCATCGCGATTGGTACAGTCTCATCCCACACCAGCCAGTTCTCCCATTGTGTCTCGCCCCTATTGTTTGGACATTGTTCCCCCCTCACTAATCTTGGGCTGTGTATTTTATTGTAAAGCCAAACTGGTTTGTAATGTGTGAATATAGTAATGCTGTTTATGGAGTTGTTTAATCATCCTCTGATGAGATATAGATTTTACTTACAGTTGATTTAATCTAAGGCCGTGTGGTTGTAAGACAGTTGTAGTTATTGTGTTTCTACTCATTTCTTCCCTTTTTTCTGTTCTTGTTGTTCCTCTTATCTTAAGTGATTGTGCTTGTTAACCGCAGGTGTTCATCTCTAATGCTCAAACATCACTTTTGTGAATCTTCTTTTTTTTCACTAACTGCAACATCGCTTCAGTGTGTTACTTTTACGATTGGGACCATATGAAAACTGAGCAGTGTCTAACACTGAGGATTTTACTGTCAACACTGCTGGATTTTGCACAGCAACGTGTTTTTCTTTATTAAAAATGCATTCAATTAGTTTGGAAAATTGTCTTGATCTTTATCTAACGATTAACCCAAATTAAGAAACGTGATATGTAACACATGCCAGTTTTGTTGTGGTCTTGCTGGGATCATACTAGCACCCAAAAACAACATGCTGGTCAACCAGCATCCCAAGCTGGTCCCAGTTTGCAAAACAAACCTTATACTGGTGACCAGGGCCTGAAATTAAAGGGTTAGTTCACCCAAAAATGAAAATTAAGTCATTAATTACTCACCCCCATGCTGTATCAACCCCGTAAGACCTTCGTTCATCTTCGGAACACAAATGAAGATATTTTTGATTAAATTTGAGAGCTGTCTCACTACCACATTGGCTCCTAAGGGACTGCCTCTTGACGGCCCAGAAAGTCAATGAAGAAAATGTTTAAATATCCCAAGTGACTACCGTGGCTCAACTATATGTTTATCAAGCGACGAAAATACTTTTTGTGCGAAAAAACAAACAAAAATAAACGAGTTTATTCGACTATTCCTTTTCTTCCTTGTAGGCCAGAAACGAGACTTCCTTAGATTTCCACGACGCATGCGCGAGAACTGAACTGAAGTAGTGTAAGGAGATCGCAATTCTCGCGCATGCGTCGTGGAAATATAAGGAAGTCTCGTTTGTACAGCATGGGGGTGAGTAATTAATGACTTAATTTTCATTTTTGGGTGAACTAACCCTTTAACACCCGACCACCTGCCAAATGCGAGTGAATTTTTCTATTGGCGGGTAACACTGTCAATCTACCTGCCACAATGGCAGGTAGACAATAATAATTAAGTGATTCATTAGGATTTTTACATTTCAACTGAGTCCGCCATTGCGTCTGACTTTAGCTAAAATGTGGCGGCACATTACTGGGGTAAAGAGGCCAGCTGAAACAAACAACCAACAAAAAGATGAGGATGAGAAAAAGAAAAGTAAAAGAAGACATTTTAATACAAAGTGGACAATTGCCGGCAATGGCAAGGTTCGTAAGCGGCTGATTTATGACAGCGACTGTTGTTTCGGAACGTTCATGCGATCAGAAGAAGACGAGGCAGTTTTTTCCGACTACATTTGGATGTGCGAGTATTAAACTGTTGGTGAGATGGGATGAGATAATGTAGCGCTGACGTAGCCTACAGTACAATGACAATTGCACAGATGTGTGTGCGTGTGCAACTGTGCATGTTGGGAGTTGGGGACCGGTGAGAAAATATCCGGTACCCGGTAACTTTATCAGTAATAACAAGTTCATAGTTAACGGTTCCTGAACGCTGTAACTAAAAGATGTCAGGATGTGACTAAATCAGCCATCAACACAGCCACGTGTGATTTGTTTAGCTGTGGTAGGTCTATCTGTTGAGTATGTACTATATAGCCTATATACTATACATGTTGTGTGAGTGTCAAAATCAATGAATAAAAAGTTTTAAAAAAATGTATGTTCTTAGAGTTATTATTATTACTTGAGAGCACTTAAATGTGTATTCTTACAAGTGAAAGAACAATATTGTGAAATTCAAGTTTTTTTTCACCTTTAAGGTGAAAAAAAAAACTGGAATTTCACAATATTGTTCTTTTTACCAGCCATTTTTTGGCTGAGGCAAAATATGAAGCAAAAAAAAAAGTGGCTGGTAAAAAGTCTCTATGGCAGGTGAATTTTTATTGTTCCGAAACAATACACAGTGGCCGAAAAAGTTAATTTCAGGCCCTGCTGGTGACCATTCTGGATTTTTTAGCAGGGAAGGTCATGCGTTCATAAAGTTAAAGGAGAACTCTGGTCAATTTTACATTTTTTTTTTTTGTAAATTTGGAGTGCTGTCAGTACTGAGAGCAATGACAAAAATCTGTTTCTACACCGTTATCCTCTTTTTAAAATGTTTATTCAGCCAGCTCACATACCTGAATTTACTTCCTGTTTTCGGTCGAAGTCCACAGTAGTTGATCGTCGAGATCGCGCGCATGAAAAGTGAGTGTCCACTGTTGCTTAATGGGCTATATGCACGCATAAGTTACGCATTTGACGCAAGGATGCTCTTCAGTTTCCAGTTGTAGAGATTAAAGCGGAGGAAAACCGAGGAAAACACGATTATGGCAGAGTCTTCAAAGTTTACGGTCCTCCCGTCTTTGAAACGAAACTTTCATATGTTTAGATGTAATTTTATATATAGTTATGTTTATTTAATATAATTTTAAAAAGAAGCATAAACACAACAAGGGGTGTCTGTTTTGTCTGTTTTTGTGACTAACGTTTCTGGAGTTTCATGGAGTATAAAATTCAATACAAATTTTCGGTATTGCATTCGATTCTACGATCGGAGGAAGTTTTCGAGCATCCTTACACCTTCACCGGAAATACCGCCGTGCATTGAGCCCATTACCAATGATCGCGCTCGCGAACTCGACAATCGACTACTGTGGGCTTCGACCGAAAACAGGAAGTAAGTACAGGTATGTGAGCTGGCTGAATTAACATAATTTTTATTCATATCTTTCACATCTACTGCAGTCGGATTGACCGTGTTCACTCTGAATAAAATCACTCACACGGCTAATTTAAGTCAACAGGGTGCAAATTTTAAAAAGAGGATAACGTGAATTTTAAAAAGAGGATAACATTGTTTAGGAAACACCAATTTGTGTCGTTGTTCTCTGTACTGACAGCACTCCAAATTTACAAAAAAATAGTTTTAATTAAAAGTTGCTTCGGATAAAATCATCTGCCAAAAGTTTAAATAAACATGTATTTCGATATATTGCATAGATCAGGGTGTTAAACTCAGTTCCTGGAGGGCCACAATCCACAGCTTCAACCTTATAATTAAACACCCGATCCAGCTAATAAAGGCCTTCAGGCTTATTTGAAAACTATATGTGTGTGTTGAAGGGTTGTACTGAAACTCTGCATTGCTCCAGGAACTGAGTTTTGCACCCCTTGCCTAAAGCAACTGTGATGTGTGAACTCAACTGGAGTAAAGTTTATCATTTAACTTCCTGTGAGCAGACTAAAGTGTTTCAAGTGCTCATATTATTTTATTTTAAAAGTTTCACGTTTTGTTTTGGGGTCTCCGTAACAGGAATTGAGACTGGAATTGCTGACGACTCCTCTCGGCAGTTCATAATCAAATAATCAGGAGATAATAACATTTTCATGACATTTTAACACTTAACTGAACTTTTAACACCCTACACACCAGCATGTGATCTCCGTTCTTTGGAAGCTGGCCTTTTAATTGTTCCGCATACCCGACTAAAGTCCATGGGTGATCGGGCCTTTTCGTCGAATGCTCCAAAACTCTAGAATTCCCTGCCTATTGAGATTAGGCAAGCAGAATCCCTTAGTGTTTTTTTTAATCATCACTCAAAACTTATTTGTTTAGGGTAGCTTTTATATAATTGTTGAAAATCGTTGTATTATTATTATTATTGATCCTATATTTCATAATGTTTTTATTTTTGTATTTTATGACGTTTTTCTGTCAGCAACTACTAATGCATTGTTTGTTTAATTGTATGTTTTATTATGTTTCTATATTTGTGAAGCGCTTTGAGATACTTTTTAAAGGCGCTTTTTAAAGTTTATTATTATTTTTTCATGAACTTTGGTCTTTACAAATTTGCAATCATTTTAAATTCAGAAGCTACTGTATATACACATGCCCTGCATTAAAGATAATATTCACATTTTCTCTTGCGTTTACATGCTTCTATTCCATTTTCTCTTATCTTTTCAGTAACCATGGTCACAATTAGAGTTGGGTATCGTTGAATTTGAACGATTCTGATTCCAATTCCGATTCCTGGTTTCGATTCCGGTTCCTAACGATTCTCGATTTCCGATTCTTTTAAGAGGCAGGGTCAAAAAAAAGTTTAGCTAACCTTGCTAACCAACGGCCTTTCTGAAGGAAATAATCCTTTTGTCACAAATTTTGCATTTTGCCGAGATTTCGTTATTTTTAGTAAAGTGAAGACACACTTTGGACCGCCGATGTAAGCTACTCATGTTCGACTCGCGCGGTTATGCCAACACTTCCGGTAGACGCTTCTTCGTTGGTGTTGTTCAGCGTTTTCTTCTTCTGCTCGGCGGACTGTGAATATCGAAACTAGGAATCGAAATTTGAACTTTTGAACGATTCCGGGAAAAACGAAAAGTCAGTCTCGGTTCCAATCGATACTCGATTCTCGATACCCAACCCTAGTCACAATAAATTCACACTTGCAAACATTCAGAATCAACTATATCCACAAGTTTCCGAGGGGCGCTCCTGTAAAAAATAAAGTGGGTGAAACTTCCGGTGACGCGGCGGAAGTAGCATTCCAATGGTATTTTGTGTGTTAGTTAGCAAAGAGGCTAGCTGTTTTTCTGAGAATTATTTTACTATTTAAAGACGCAAATCTTTATGAGAGATGTCGTTACGGAGCTCAGGGACAACATGTGCTGTTCGCGCTTGTATGTATAACCGGACTAAACTAATTCAGTGGCTTAAACGTGATTGTTTTGAACATAAGCCTAAAACGAAATCAGACTGTAACATTAGTTTCCATCACCTCCCAAAAGACGACGAATCTTCCTGTGTACATTTGTTTAAATTCTTAATATTCTATAAACTCTATCAGCATGTGATTGGCTGTTCTCTACTGATGTTACACCTAAACTCAGGACCAAAGCCTGTGTTGACAGAATACCAAATGTGCCAGTAATGTATTCAAGCAGCACATTGATTTATAATTTTGAATAAACTCCAAAGCACAATGACTAAGTGTATTTTTTATTTTAATTGTTTGTCAGCTCACACAACTGTCTGTCACCATGCCTTGATTAGTATTGATTATTAATAATGTTATTATAATACTCCCAATCAACTACTGCGGAGGGTAAAGGTACTGTTATTTCACCCTTTTGAATTTCGTTGAGGTTGTGTTCCCACATCGTTAGCTAGTTTGGATCGCTATAACTTGAATGACTGTCAACTGTTGAATGAACGAGTGTGAAGTATGTCAAGTCGGGCTTTGTTTACTTCAAACCGGAAGACGCGCCCACTTTTGACGCAAGGCCTCATGGGGCGTAGGAAACTTGTGGATAAGATTTTAACTGAAACTTTAAACTCTTCTCAGGAGTCATCTGTAATTTCAGGAATAGCTCCAGACAGCAGTGCTGGACTGAATCAAGGAATCAGAAATACATATAAAAAAAATCTCATCAAATTTCTAACCGCAGGTAACTCCACTGAAGAGAGAGCGAGAGAGGTCACTTCTTCTACGTGGACTAAAGTTCCTCTGATTGTTCTGGGTGTCTCTCTTGTGTTTGCTCTCGGAGGTCTCTGCGCTCTCGGGGTGATTTGTAAGTATGACTGATACTAGATCTCTGCTCTGTTCAGGTATGTATTGACTGAATTACTGGAAGTACTTACACAATGTTTAGTAGCTTTTTATTTGTAAAATCATACTTCTCAGTAAAGATGTTTTACTAGGCAAGTATTGTCAAAAAATCTCCATATTGAAGGTGTAAACTGTTATTAAGTAAGCCTGAAGACTTAATTTACAAACTCCATTCAAACTAGTTTTGTAGGTAATTTCAGTCTTAAAGTCCCTGTAAAGGCAATTCTACAAAAAGGTTCTAAACACATTATAAATGTTGCATATGTATTGCTAAAACATATTACAAAGACTGTGAACTGTGAAGTACTGAAATGTGGAGTTAAACCGTTAAACAGTTTTTCACCATTGCAATTTTACGGATTTTTTGGGCGGGGCTAAAACAGGGCTCGATGACGCACTGGAGCCCATGAGCTCCTGGACACGCCCCTATTTGATGAAGCATTTTGCTGATCTCATCTCTCCCCTAACAATAGAGCACATTCGCATTCGCCGCTCAATCGCGAGTGACTGTCAGTCCTATTAGTTACTACAGCCAACAGTTTTCTAGCTAGCTATTTGACACAGAAATGCATAGGCTACTACCTGGATGCGATCATGTAACAGATCGGTATCTTCATTTAAATTCCCTAAAAACGATCACATCAAGAAGAGGTTTTTAGAGAGCCAACCTTGTTGATGAAGAGCCGAGGATCACCGCCAACAGCCGCCTCTGTAGTGATCGTTTTACACTGGATCGTTTAATAAACTTTCCTTAGAGACAACTGGGATTCACTGATTATTCACTGATAATCCGCTGTTACTGGTGAACGGGGCCGAAACGGCTATCTCCCGCCTCAGCGTTCATCCTCTCGTCTCCAAAAGCTAATCAGCTAATATCACCGTCGACAGCTTTCCCGTGAGTGGGCGTGGTTTCCACGCAGCCAGCGGACACGCCCCCAGCGTTTGAGAGCAGAGAATCTGCTCATTTTTTCATGATTTTGATAGCTTATTGTACGGTATGTACTTACCGGCTTTTTTTATCATTCAAATTTGGCTGGATGGCTAATAACACATTTTTCTGTGGTGTCACAAACTCAGAACACATACGTAATTTTGACTTTACAGGGACTTTAAGTGTGCATGATGTGGACTTTCCTCAAAAACATGTTTCCACTGTTGCTTTTGTGTTTAATCAGATGATCATAAGCTTGCTGATTTCGAATCACTGAATGAGGAGAACATCATGATTTCAAAGACACTGACGGCTCAAAAGATCAACAGCGCAGGTGAGAAAACTATAAACGGTAGACCACAGACAAGTTTCATTGACAGTGTTGAGTGTTCATTGATCTCCCCATGTTAGAAACAGTATCTGCTGGTTCTCCTTTACTATTTAATTGTCTTTTCACCAGCCATGAAGAAAAAGTTTAATGATCTCACAGCCAGATACAACACACTTCGAGAGCAGCTGTCCTTTTACGAACGTGAGTTCAGTTTACATGCGACACCAAGTATGAATATTTCTGCACATGGAAAGAGTTTGATTAACTTTATGATCTAAATAATGCAGGTGTAATGGACTTTTTAATTCATTCCTCACAGCTCAGTCTTGTAATATCTCTGTGAATGGCCAGTTAGCTTGTCGTGGAAAGCTGTATTTATTCAGCTCTGATAAACTGAACTGGACAAGCAGTCGAAATGTCTGTTTCTCAAAAGGAGCCGATCTGGTGACCATAACCAGCCAATCACAACAGGCAAGTCAGATCAATTAGAAATGAATATGTTTTGATCACACAAATAAAACAAAGCTTTTAAAGTGTTTCCAGGGTTTCTCAAACTCGGTCCTGGAGGGCCACTGTCCTGCAGAGTTTAGCTCCAACCCTGATCAAACACACCTGAGCAAACTAATCAAGGTCTTCAGGATCACTAGAAACTCACAGGTAGGTGTGTCTGATCAGGGTTGGAGCTAAACTCTGCAGGACAGTGACCCTCCAGGACTGAGTTTGAGAAAACATTTACCTTCACATATACCAAAAACACTATCACTTATGTACGTTTTCCCCATTAGGATTATCTGGCGTCTAAAATTAACGAGGCGACCTGGATTGGTCTGAATGATCTGGACACTGAAGGACACTGGGTTTGGGTGAATAACCAAACTCTCACTGACATTGGACTACAGTAAGATCTCTGCATGTGTGATCATAGGAATGTTAATCAATGTACGAATATACTGATGTTTTCTAAAAATACTATTGCTAGTGTATAATTGCTTGTTTGTCTCTCAAAGGTTCTGGTATCCCAAACAACCTAATGGCGGGAGAGGTTCTAATTGCGTTGCTCTGCAAAGTGGGTCAAGCAGATTAAACTCTTGGTTTGATACTTCTTGTGCTGGCACGAGAAAATTTATCTGTGAAAAGGATTTTTAATTCACCTCCATCTGTGGTATTGCATGTTATTATAGCATGTAAATGCACAGAAAAAATTATTGTCAGCAAAATTCTTTTTTGTGTGTGTGTGTGTGTGTGTGATTGTGCCTGCATGTGAAGTTTATATATATATATATATATATATATATATTATTAGCTATAAATATTTTATTAGCTAATTAAAGTTAAGGGAAGACATTTGCCTTGGATAAATGCTGATTTAATAAATCTTTTCAAAGACAGAGATAGAGCTTGGAAAAAATACCGCTTAACAAGGGATCCTGCAGATTGGGATACTTATAAAAAGTTGAGGAATACATGCACACACAAAAAAACGCGAAATGCAAAAACAAACTACTTCAAGGACTGCCTAGCTACCGATTATAACAATCCCAAAGTATTTTGGGAAAGAGTTAATAACTTAACTATTTCTCATCTAAAAAACAAGCTAATTTCATTTAAATAAATAATGTAATTATCAATTATTCCTCTGAAATTGCTGATGCATTTAATCAATTTTTCACCAAAGCGAGTTCTATATCTACTGATTTTTCTGTTCCTAATCCTAATTTTAATACTTCTAATCATATTTGCGAAAACTCCTTCTCCTTTAAATCATCAGTCCAATAGAAGTCCAGCAAGTTATCACTATCCAGCAACTATCACGTGGACTTCATTATTTTCATAACGCATGTTATGTGTGATAACTGCATACTTATTGTATTAAATGTACTTATAAGGCTTGTATGTGAGGAGATAGTTATGGAGAGCAAAATGTTTGTAAATGTTGGTAGGAATGTGATTGTAAATTATGTGACATAATGTTAAATGCTGTCTCGATTTATGTTTGTTCTCAGGGCCCCCTTGAAAACGAGATGTTACATCTCAAGGGGCTATCCTTCGAATAAATTAAAAAATCAGTAAGAGGCGCTTGTCAGTCACTGCCCTGGCAAATTTGAAAGGCTGCACTGCAAGGAATCCTCGTTTGCAAAAAAGAAAAAAAAAAAGAAAAATTAAAAGGAAACGTGACCGGAACCAATGAGGTTCATTCTAGTGTTACGCATCACGCTTGAGCTTCTGTAAGAACCAAAGGCATTGGCTGTGTTCTGATCTAGTGCTGTTTGCTCCGATGCTCTGTGGCTCATCGTAAAGTTGCTGTTCTGTTTCCAGTACGGAATTGTTCTGTTTTTAGTATGGGATTGATGTGCTTTCAATGAGCTTTCCATGTTGCTTTTAATTTCCATGTTGCTTTTAATTAGGATTTTCTGTACTTTTTGAGCTCTGGTTGCAGAAGTGTGTCTGTGTTATGCTGCTTTAAGTTTCTTTTGTTTTCCTTGTTCTGTTTTATTTCTTTAATCATTTGTTTTAATCATCAGTTTGGTATTTTTTTCTATTTGCATTTTGGTTTCAGTTCATCTACTGTGATTATTGAATATACTTTGATTTTGAACTATTACTATGGTTGAGTTCTACAGCTGAATTCATTTAGTTATTTGTTTATAGTGTTCTTTAAGTTGAACTTTTTTATGCTTTGGTTTCTTTGCTATTTGTGCAGACCCGGGTGGGATCGAGTAGTTGGTTCCTTTCTAAAACAGATATTTTTGTACGATTACCAATGTGTCCGGCTCTAATGGTGACAAGAACCTGTGCATGTCATTAGAGGGCGCGTTTAATTCCTTGGGTGAAATTCCCAAGGTGGCGTAGTCGGAAACTTATATCAACTTGAGTTTGCTGAGCACACGTATAAATCAGTGCTCCACCCCACCCTATAACATTTATTTGTGAAAAGAAATATTCATTTACCTCCATCAGTGGAACTAATTAATGAGGTCTATTTTAATAAAACTAGACTTTAAACTAGAGATTGCTCTTTTGGATTTGCTTGCTCATATCATGTTAAAATGTGAGTTTTGTGTCTAAAATAACAGCAACAATTGAATACCTATAAGACTTGTGTGCTATTGCAAAATGAATACAGTAAATTTAGTGTGCGCTTCTCTGTTGAGGACACATTATAGGTTTGTGTGAGAAACAGAATGGAATTTAATCTCTGATAATCTGATAATTTTGCATTTTTACAGCATTCAACTTTTGTCTGTCACTTTGTATTTCTTGTTCTTTTCTCCACAAGAGGTCAATAATGCACATCTCTACGGCTTTATTGGAGGCTCTAGGATTAAACATTGCTTGTCAAGTTCATCATAAATTGCTTTAATAATAAAAGTGTAGTGAATGAATGAATGTTGTGCTATTGTTGTTGTGGGGGGGGGGGGTCTAAATGGAACATAGCCTATATTTACACTAAAGCCGCCTTTAGTGCCTGTCTTTTTAACAGGAACACGCCCGTTACAGAACAGCTACAGTGACGTAGATCGTAGAGCGTTTAGTTCATGAAAGAGCAAATGTTTAAGTTTGCCAGTTTTCTCCTGCAATCCATGTTTTCACTGTTATACAGCAGGGGGCGCTATTACGCATCTTTTGAAAAATTATAGAATATTTGGTCCAAAACTCAGCCAAAGAAGCAGCAGACACAAGCAATAAGCTTTTTCAAAATGTTACTTTTTTATGAAACTTACACACAAGTCTTAATTAAAAAAAGAATGCTTTTGTTGAACAATTGTTGTTGTTGTTGTTGTTTGGATTTTTTTAAAGCAGAGGCTCTGTTCCTTTTTTATACTTTGCATGTTCAGATATTCATACAACAACATTTAGAGGCCAAGGGCCATGAAAATTTAGTGAATATATATTATATATATTTGACAAGTTATGAATCCAAATATTTTCTTGATAATTTTTTTGTATAGTTCTATGAAGTTATGAAGATTAATTTTGGCACCATTTTACATTTTTTTGCCAGCAGCTGCCAGTGTGTGGTGTCTAAACAAAAGTGTTGCGTTTATAATTTTAGTCAGTATGTTTGAAAATCTATTTAAAAAATGTGTTTTAAAATTGTTTGTGAAAGCTAAAATAATATATGATCACACATGAAGTCAGTTTTCAAACATAAAAATCTCAAGCCACTTCATAACTACAATTAGACCTGGAACTTATTGCCATTGTTATTTATTTTTCCTTTATTATCTTGAAGCCCTTTTAATCCTTTAAATAGTCAAATCAATGGACACTTCTCTCTTCCAGCTAATTAGGTGCCAAGACCTCAACTGAAGTCAAGTCAGTTTAAGTTACACACTACAAATTATTTAAAGTAGGAGATAAAAACTAATAAAAATGTTTGGCTGTCTAAATATTAGTCGCTAGATCTGTTCTTCAGACTTATTACTTCATTATTTCCTGTCTGTATGAAAGTGAATGACATTTTATGACTTCCTTATTTTGAACAAACTAGAGAAGCACTCAAGACTCAGCGGACACGTCTTCTGCAGGCTCGTGAAATGGATTCAATATGAAAATACTGATTTCAACAAACTTTCAACAGTTTCTTCAGATGAAAAATGTTCTCAACACAGAGGTAAGGCTGATGATGTTAGTATATGCATTAGAATTTCTAATGTTTCTAATATTTACGTTTTATAAGTTCATTCAACAATTACACATTCGGCAGATGCTTTTGTCGAAAGTGATTCATATTGTATTCAAGGTAACAATTTGATCCATTCACGTGTCCCCTGCGAATCAAAAAACTGTCAACTCTGTAATTTAACCCTCATATTGTGTGTGGAGTCAATATGATCCCAATCGACTATTCCTGTTAAAATAAAACGGTTCCCTTTATCTCATGCCATAAGATTTGGTGACTTTTTCTATCTAAACATACACAAAAAACTGGGCTTGATTAGGTTGTTTTGAAGGCATGTAAAAAAAAAAAATTACACTCAAATCAATGGGAAAAGTGGGAAAAAAAAAAAAAAAAAAAATCAATAAATCCAGCATAAATCTGAAACTTTTTATCAAATTTAGCTAATTACATCAGCTAAAAATGCAGAACATGGGTATGATGGAGTGAGACCTAATGCATACACAACTTCGAGAAAGTTTACGCTGAGATGTGCACTGTTACCCGGACTTTATGTCTAATAAAGAATTTAATTACAATTTAATTAAGTAATTTACGTTTGATTGCATTACAAATTAAATATAAGCAGATTCTACATGGTGTACTATTGGTATTGGTAAGTTTATTCTATGTGAGCAATCCGAAATATCACGGTTGAGATGACAAATGTAAGGTAACCATGCATGGTGACGACTGGAGAGCTGTGGACTGGACAGACATTGAAGTTTGAGAGTTTGTCTGTCAAACGATGATGTCCAGTTTGTGGGAAGATTGGACGTGCAATTTCGGGCTGTCATATCGCTACAAAGATTCAACAAGATTCAACTGACAAGCTGACAGCAATTTGTGATGTCTGGAATCAGTGGGTTAAGCATCTCCTAGTGACACCCTGGTGCCATTTAAAGGTGGATACACCGAAAAGCCTCAAGGTGGACCACCAGAAAAAAAAAAAAGTCAAGGCATGCGTGTGGTCCTTGATTTGACCATTGGTCTCCAAGGGCACACAAACAACTTCATCATGTAATGCCCTTGGCCAGGAGCCATGGGCAGAGGGTGAACCAAATCTAGATCTTAAAACATTGGAGGAATCAACTTAAAAACTAAAAACATAATAATAATAAAATAAATAAATAGAATAAAATATTAGGAAATAGCTACATGTTGCCCATCAACAATCTCCACATCCCAGAATAAACACTCTTGTTATTAAAGTGGTTATGTTCACAAACTACTCTAATTTGAATAGGCAAGCACATGCGTGATTTGGCTAATAAATAGCCTAATAGCCTTACCTAATGCAGGAAAAACATACATAAGAGGCGTGCATACAAGCGCTCCCTTTATAATCACTGAGCTGTCACTTTTCTTAATTCATCGCAATCTCACAAAGTTCTGCACGGTACAATCAATATCTTATTTAGCCTATGAAATGTCTATATATTTTTTTTGATGAATAAAAAAGATTTAGATATCTAGATATGTTTTATTAGATCTAAAATATCATTTGATCAAATCAATCATATTTTAAGAAATCACATAGTTTGATGTGTTTATAATTTGAAAAGTATGTTCAATGCTTTTCTCCTAGAATAGGCTGCTGTCAGTAGCCTAAAAGAGGCCTAGAAATAGGGTTTCGTTCCAACAAGTGGGGCACTACCTACTTTTTTTTTATTATTTAACATCAGAAATATAGATATTCCTTAGGAAAAAGTTCTCCGCACACAACCTTGCAGTTTTTGAGAAAAATTATGCTAAAGATGCCCATTTTGAAATAAAGCGAAACCATAGGGAATTTTGCATTTTTTAACCTGTTTATCATATAAAGCCAAAAATTGCAAAATTACCACTTGAGTAAACTAGTTACAAAATAAACCAGTTTGAAATGTGTGATATACCTGAAGTTGCCATCTAGGCACATCAAGAAAACTTCTATCATTAATATCCCAATTACTTCTCATTATGTTGTTCCAATTCAAAGGTAATGTTTGAGGTAAAATCTGAATAACAAATAGAATTAAGCCAAAATATAATATATAAAAAAGTAAAACACTTTTCAAAATAACACATTTAATGGTGAATTGTCAATACGCATACACGAACAGTAACTGCACTGCATGTACACTGTAAAAAAATATTATATGGTATCTACTTAAAAAAATTATGGTAACGTATTATATTTGAGTAGATTTTAAGGTGTTTTTTTTTTTTTTTGTGTGAGAGATCTACCAGAATAAATTAAGTAAAATGTCCTAAATTATTTAGTCTATGGCACACGATGAATTTAATATTAGTGGAATGTGCTTTTTTAATTTAAGTCGCCTCACAAATAAATCAAGCAGAATTTACTCATTTGTGTTAATGAAATTTACTTAATTATAACATTTACTGCCTTTATCAGACAGTAAATGTTATAATAATGAATGCATAATGCACTTTTTGTTATCAAACATGCTTTTATTCTGTATTTTTTGCACAAATAAAACAAATCTATATAAAATGTAAGTTTTAAGCAGTTTTAAGATATGAAAAATAAAAGCAAAAAAAAAAAAAAAGCTAAACTATTTTCCATGTCATTGAGAAAGATCATTTTGTTACACAAAAACATGTGCATACAAATTTCTGTCGGAAAAAGTCACATTCTTGACTAAAACTTGTGAATAACTTGTAGCAAAACATATAAAATAATTTGAACTTGCTGAAAGCTTTTATGTAGAACAATATTAAAAGTTCATCAATCAATGCCGTTTTTTTTCAGACCTTGCCTTGGTCATAATGCATTGTCTCAATCGAAGTCACAAGTTTGTTTTTAAGTGTTAATAATTTCGGGGAAAACTTGCAAACATCCAGTTTCAAGAAGAGCTTCTGAAAGGCCTCAAAAGTGTGCCTCAGTTCTTTCGGGTAGGTGTGATTAACTTGCATGCGTGAGTACAAGTTTCTGATAGACAGTAGAGTGAATGTTTCAGTTAAAGTGATAAAAGATGTTATTTTGGCCAAACATCTTGCAGAAGTGACATCGCAGTTTTCTATGGGTGTGAAACCGTAAAAGGAATGTAATATGTATCTATGTCTTGTGGGGCTGTGAAGAGGAACTTTGCTCTGTTCTGCTTAGCAACAGTGTAAACAGGCACGAATCGTTTGTCCTTGAGGAACTTGTGGTTCTATATGGAACCTTTTAGGTTCATTGATTATCATGTGTTTTGTTAGCCTGGCATGCCAGACCTACATCAAGATGTTAGGTCTGGAAACTCATCATTGACAGGGCTCAATCCGAGGGGCGGGATAAACGGTTGTCTTTCAAATTCTCTCTGCACGCAATTGGATAGCTCTAAAGCCAATCAGAGCAACGAAGAAGGTGACGTACTCAGCGGAGCAAGTTGATATATTACACTTTTACCGCTGTCAACATTGAACATTGAAAATAGGGGAGATTTCCCGGAATCCATCCCCAAAATAAGGGATTTTTTAATGTTTTTTACACGATCCACAAACTTTAAAAATTAAACACTAATCAAAAGTCTAAAGAGTTTATAACTATATGCGTGAGAGAGAAAGAGACAGTATGTGTGTGTGTATGAGAGAGAAAGAGACAGTGTGTCCTTAAAAAAATTATATCATAGAGAATGTTTAAATGCTAATATCAGCTTACGAGGGAAACGGAGGCGGAGTAGTATGGAGCGAAGTATGTGCCTAAACCTCACACACAAACAAAACGTGTTTTACTCACACCCAATGATTCACAAACAAACTCAGTGTGGTTTGTAAATACAAAACATCACTCACAAACTAATGCATATTGTTCTGTAAATAAAAAACGTACCTATCAAACAAATACAGTATGTTTTACATATACATAGAAACGTATTTCTTCAATGACCAAAATATCCTGCAAGTACAAACTAAAATCTTTGAAAGTACAAAACAAAATTCTACACGTACAAAACAAAATTCTACAAGTACAAAGCAAAATTCTACAAGTACAAAGCAAAATTCTACAAGTACAAAACAGAATTCTACAACTACAAAACAGAATTCTACAAGTACGAAAAACTGTCACGTGACTTTTGGCACTATTTTTCCGCGTCCAGGCAGAATCAGATTTTCTCACAAATACAGTGGAACAACTTCCTCTTCTAGAACAGTAGATGGCGCTAAGATAAGGGCTCAATTTGCTCGCCTTTGCCCATGGGAAAATGAGCGGTGAACAGGTGTGTTTCTGTCCAACTTTATCTATAATTAACCTTATTGAGGTTTTGGAAAATGTTTATTATATAGACAGAAATCCACATTAGCACTTAGTAGTAACGTACTCCACTCTAGGATAAGGGAATCTATAAGCTGAAAGCTGCCATCATGTTGCTTTTACTTTTTGTAAAAATGTTTCATTTACTGAATGACTCTATTTCTTTCGTTCTCCGTAAATTAATGAGAACATTTCATTTAATTGAAAGGGTCCCACTTATTCATTAATTTTGTTGGAATTCAGTCAGCGTAACTGTTAATGTAATAAAATAATGAATGAACAAATCAAACAATATACAGTTGTTTCTTCCCTGTGATGTATTGTCCAAATTATTATTTTGGACAGACAAATGAAACCCTCCTTTCAATTAAATTAAATGTTTTCATTATTAAGAACGAAACGAAAGTAATAGATTCGTTCAGTGTATACATAATCACTACTTTAGTCATTTCACACGCGTCTTGTAGGCTAGATTATTAATCCTGGCGCGTTCACGGCGAAGATCGCGAGTCAGCATTGTCAACTTCATGTTTTCAGCCGACACACTGACAAAGATACACTTGTTTATTAATAAACAATTAAAATATCTTCTTGCTATATTTTACATAGCCTATTCATAATCTTTTGCCGGTTCTTTGTGACAGCTTTAAGGTGCTTTATTGGCAGTGCCACCCTACATGTTACACGCGTCACCACCGCATCACCGCACCCACCAGAATAGCCCAGTTTAGTAAACAGAATTAGATGGCCACAATTCTTACACTTCTAAAAGGCAATTCAATGCGGATGTAATCCCCCAGATTGAGTAGCTAATGTAATGGAATACGTTACAAATGACATTTTGGGGCATTTATTCTGTAACGAAATACGTTTTCCCAACACTGCCTACTACAGCTGAGGAAAGTGAGCGGTGAACGGTGTGTTTCTGTATTACTTTATATAATTAACCTTATTGAGGTTTTCTTTTGCAAAATGTTAATTATTTCTTGACAAAAATCCGTATTACCGCTATTAGCACTTCACTCTCTCTAGGGGAATCTAGGCTGAAATCTATGTCATGTGTTGCTTTAAAAAATAATATTAGGCTAATAATCTACATAAGACGCGTGTGAAATGACTAAATTAGTGATTATGTTCACTGAACGAATCTATTACTTTCGTTCTCCATACATTAATGAGACCATTTAATTTAATTGAAAGGAGGGTTTCATTTGTCTGTCCAAAATAATAATTTGGACAATACATCACAAGGAAGAAACAACTGTAGGCCTATATTGTTTTGTTCATTCATTATTTTATTACATTAACAGTTACGCTGACTGAATTCCAACTAAATTAATGAATAAGTTGGACCCTTTCAATTAAATGAAATTAATTCTCATTAATTTACGGAGAACGAAAGAAATAGTCATTCAGTAAATGAAACATTTTTACAAAAAGTAAAAGCAACATGATGGCAGCTTTCAGCTTATAGATTCCCTTATCCTAGAGTGGAGTACGTTACTACTAAGTGCTAATGTGGATTTCTGTCTATATAATAAACATTTTCCAAAACCTCAATAAGGTTAATTATAGATAAAGTTGGACAGAAACACACCTGTTCACCGCTCATTTTCCCATGGGCAAAGGCGAGCAAATTGAGCCCTTATCTTAGCGCCATCTACTGTTCTAGAAGAGGAAGTTGTTCCACTGTATTTGTGAGAAAATCTGATTCTGCCTGGACGCGGAAAAATAGTGCCAAAAGTCACGTGACAGTTTTTCGTACTTGTAGAATTCTGTTTTGTAGTTGTAGAATTCTGTTTTGTACTTGTAGAATTTTGTTTTGTACTTGTAGAATTTTGCTTTGTACTTGTAGAATTTTGCTTTGTACTTGTAGAATTTTGTTTTGTACGTGTAGAATTTTGTTTTGTACTTTCAAAGATTTTAGTTTGTACTTGCAGGATATTTTGGTCATTGAAGAAATACGTTTCTATGTATATGTAAAACATACTGTATTTGTTTGATAGGTACGTTTTTTATTTACAGAACAATATGCATTAGTTTGTGAGTGATGTTTTGTATTTACAAACCACACTGAGTTTGTTTGTGAATCATTGGGTGTGAGTAAAACACGTTTTGTTTGTGTGTGAGGTTTAGGCACATACTTCGCTCCATAGAGTAGTGGTGCTTCGGAGTGCAGGAGATGATTCGGGAGAAGTCCGTGCACCTTACCGATCAGAGCGCGCGCTGACACAGAGTAATGCCTTTATACTCGACGCCACAGGACGAGCGCGCGAAAATGACAAGTTGATCGTTTCGCCACAGCTTTTTTGTAACAGCGCGCGCGGCGCCGGCCACATCCGAGGATGAACCGAAATGTCCGAGCTTGCTCTGACCGTCGCAACACAGTGTCATCATTATGTTAAGTCCAGACGGGTTTTCCAGCTCAAACGTCTATGGAGAGTTGCTAGACCACACTTTGCGGCAAAATAATTTTTGCTGCCGCTTTGGTGTGTCTAGATTTCTAGGCTAGTTTTTTGTCCTTTTCGGATTAAACATTTCATATTATTGACAAACATCAAGACCCTAAGATGTATTTATGAATGCATGTGAATGATCACAAAATTCAAGATATGGGGGTTAGAAAAAGTATATATATTTATTTCATTTTATGTAGTCAATCAAAATCACACGAAGAGTGCCATTTCAGTTTTTCTCCTCCAAAAATCAGCATGGTTAAAATGTGACATTAAGTTACTACAACAGTTTAATAAACACTGATTTAATTACAACTGCAAAATGTTGCAGAATAATGTAATATATGAATGAATAATAGCCTATAAAAAAAAAAAAAAAAAACCTTTGTGCCAAAAGGGTTCGGCTACTATATACTATATGCTTCATATATAGAACCCCAATGAACCATTTTTTTCTAAAATGGTTAACTATTAATGAACTGCTTTTCAATATATCATTTGCACATACATTTCTGAAATTTATCTATTTGAAACTATTGTTGCTTGCAACATTGAAAGCTGTGTCTCTGTGTTTAGTGCAAAAGCTCTCATGATCGGGATAAAATTCGTGCCATGTACAAGCGACTTTGATTATCAATTTAACTGACTCGTAACATGTGCAACATCTCACAACCTCCCGAGTCCGAACTCGCACTGTGTAGGCCCACCTTAACACTTTCTATTCTATTTAAAAAAAAATATTTACATGTAGGCCTACTGTACTGTTAGATTTGAGAAGGGTAATATCACTTGACTTGCATATAGTTGTTCTTCTAACTGTAACTGCTTCTATTATTCTCATTTGTAAGTCGCTATAGATAAAATTGTCAACAAAATGCTTTGCATTGCATTCAAAGTATAAAGTTGATCCATTCATGTGTTCCCAGTGGGAATCAAACGCTGTCAACATTGTAATTTAAAATAAAAAAGCTCTTTCTTCCTGTAGCTCAGACAGAATATCATGATGATACCATAAGCAAGGTCATGGATTCAGAAAGAGTTCAAATGGAATGCCATCCAAGTTGTTTTGTAAAAGCATCATCCAAAGGAATCAACATGCAGCCAAACTGCATTGAGAACTTGTGTGAATTTTGCCACTTGACTTGTGGTGTACTAGAAGTGTTAAATCTTCTCAAGATGCTGTGAAGAACAGTAATATATATTTTTCTCATCTATCATGATGGGTATTGGTCACACAAGTGTTGTTGTCACAAGATCTTTATCTCAAGGTTTAAATCAAATATCCAGTTAGCCTACTCTGGTTTTCTCTGGCAGTGTTTTAGTATGTTATATTTCAAACATCAAACTCTTGGGGATGGTTCACTCAAAAATAAATAAATAAATAAAATCTGTCATGAATTACTCATGTCGTTCTAAACCTGTCAAACAGCTGTGTTCACATGAACTGTTTTTACAATGTCTTTCCTACCTTTCTGGGCCTTGAAAGTGGTAATAACGTTGCAGCCTATCAGGGGCCAGAAAGCTCTCGGATTTCATCAAAAAAAAAAAAAAATTAATGAGAGTGAACGAATGTCTTAGGGGGCTTTCAAACTGAAAAAAAAAATCATAAATTTGAACGCTGTCAGGTTGAACCCAGGTGCGCACTGGGATACTGAACCCGAAACTACCTGGTGGAGGTGGTCTGAGTTCGGTTGCTCCGAACCGTGCCGCGGTCCGCGTGAATGTGAAAGCCAGAGCCGTCGCAAGGGCTGTGCGAACTGTGCAACCGCACAGGGCCGCTGACGCCACTAGGGGGCCTCGCAATCCGGCCGGGTTCCCCCCTCCAAAAAAAAATAAAAAATTCATTGGTCGATTTTTTGATGTGTTAATTTCATCAGGTGGAAAGCACTAATTGCTAATGAGGGTGTTTTTCCCTAACAGCCTGTCTTCAGAACACCCCTTTTGTTTTCACTTTTTTGGATTAGACCAACCCACTGGAGACAGAGTGAAGAAGGTACTAGAAGGCCTTGGTCAGGTGGTTTGCTGAATATGAGGCCCTGTTTACACGAGAACGCTCGCGGTTGAAAACGTAAAAATATTTTATCGGATGTGCCTTTTGTTTACATGGCGACGGCGTTTTTGTGGCTTAAAAACGCAAAAAAGTGAAACCACCCTCCAGAGTGGAAATCTTTAAATGCTCAACCGCCGCGTTCCCGTGCAAAATTCTGCTTGACAGTGAAGGTTGTACGCAGGCGCACGAACTTGGTGGTGTTGTGTGGCAGTGCTTCACATTGCCACCTAGCCACCTGGAGTGCATACTACATCGAATTTCACACACTTTTGCGTCACCATCTGCATGCAGATATCCCAACCATTACGCTTGTCTAAATGCAGAATAAAAAGTGAAAACACAACGCCACTTTTGTGGACCAATATAGTCTTTATTTCAAGCTCTGGTACCGAAAAAAGACGGGGGTCTCAGACCCATTCTAGATCTAAGACAGCTAAACAGAGTGTTTATGAAACGGCAGTTCGGAATGCTTAAAACCAGGAAAATCCTCACGCAGATTTGCCAAGGGGACTGCTTTATGTCAATAGATCTGAAGGACGCTTATTTCCAGATACAAATAGCATCACGTCACGTCACAGGCAATTCTTGAGAGTCTCTTGCACCCCGAGAACACCTCAAGAATCTAGGTCTCACAGTCAATTGATGACTGCAACTTGTCACACATTTTGAAAATGCATTGTGTATAATATTACAGAAATGTTGTAAATGTAAATTCAGGAATAGTTAGGCCTACTGGAGGAAATTCTCTGCTGATTCAAGGGTCTCATCAAATTTCTGACCCTAGGTAACTTCACTGAAGAGCAAGAAAGAGAGAGGGAAGTTCATCCCCCTAAGTGGACTAAAATTCTTCTGATTGTTTTCGCGGTCTTTCTTGTTTTTGCTCTTGGAAGTCTCTGCTTTCTATGGACACTGTGTGAGTATTGCTGTTTAATTAATCACAAATTTTCCTGTAATTAATCTTGATTAATCCCATCTAAGATTAAAGTTTTGATATATTTTTATTATACTTTAACATTGAATTTTATATGACATCACACCATGTAGTATTTGCATCAAGAGCTGCATCAATGTTTGGTCAAGATCTTGCATTGACAATTCAAGAGTCTGTAAATCTCTCTGTAAAGAGGAACTGTTGCCAAATATAACATGCTAGAAACATACCCATAGTGTTCCGAATATAAGAGTGTTTTTTTTTTTAATCTTGGAAATACTAAAACGGATGTGGTCTTATATCCAGGGTCTTGACTTTTACATGTCAATAATACACTCTCAACAATAAGAAGCGTAAAGCAAATGTTTCCCTGAAGCGACCCGCCACGGGAATGGTGGTTAAAATTGTAAATGTAAATTCAGGAATAGTGACAGATATTCTGTGCTGATTCATGGGCTCAAATTTCAGAAATAGCATCTCATCAAATTTCCTGACCCCAGGAAAAAGAGCAAGAAAGAGAGAGGGAAGTTTACAGGGGACCTCTCATGCTAACATGGACATGATAAGGATTAAGGAACATTGCGTTGATACACTGTACATACAAAATGTGAGGAATCAATCACCTCACCTGAGAGCCACAGGTGATTTTTATGGTATGCCATAATTTTAAATGTGATTGTTAATACATTTTACCAGTATTTACCTTACTTTCAAAAAAAAAAACGTTCAATGTTACGACTTTCAGGGTCGTCTTATGTTCGGAACAATATGGTAATCACTGCAATAATGATCCAGACTTAAACATTTGCCAATTTGAATCCAAACAGCAGCTTTTGTGTGTGTGTGTGTGTGTGTGTGTGTGTGTGTGTGTGGTATCACTGCTACTACTTTTGTTTAATCTTCAAGTCAAGTCAAGTGCATTTTTGTGCATGTCTTTACCCAGACGTCAGTGTTTCAGCGAAACTGTCTGACCAACAAAGTATTGGCACTGGCACAAGTGAGTAAAATATATTTAATGCTAGTAGCAACATTAACTGTGCTCAAAGACATATCAATGTGAGCCGTTTTCTTTTTTCCATCATTCTCTTCATAACTGTTTCCGAACCAGTCATGAGTGAGCTTGAGGAACTTACTGCCAACAACACCAGTAAGTAAAGTTACGATCAGATTCATACATATCAATGTATTTCAACCATTTGTTTTCTCCCTTTTTCATAACTGTTTCTGTACAAGTCATGTCTCAAAGACAACTACACCAGGCGCATTTCTCTTTCACACCCATAACACAGGCTTAGACACAGTGTTCTGCACATTGATTAACTTCAAGAGTATCGTGTTCTGAAGAATGGATTGTTTTCTTTCAGATTGTGGGGTTTTTTGTTTTTTTTCATGCAGATTACAAAGAAAAGTTTGATGCGCTCCAAATCCAGCATGAGGAGACACTTAGAAAGCTGAACAGATTAAATCGTACGTCTTCAGATTCAAGCCTTGTGCAAAGTTAAAAGACATTCACACACATTCTGTAAATAAGCACAATAACTAAAAATTAGTTAAATACTAAATAACTGAATTGTCTCTCTTTCTCAAAAGACAGCACAGGTTGTGCACTTTGTGCTGTCCACTGGATTCAGTATGGCGGAAAGTGCTATTACTTCTCTATGGTCAAGATGAACTGGACACAGAGTCGAGATCACTGTGTGACTCGAGGAGGACATCTAGTGATCATAAACAGCAAAGCAGAGCAGGTGTGATACATACACATGAATCCCTTTTACTTCTGTAACATGTTGTATTTCTCAGTTAAACAAAAAAAAAGGCAATTTATTCCAGTTACTAGGAAATTATAGCCTGGCTAACACAGACCCAATTCTCGTTGAGACTTGGGTCTGGGAACCACATGTACAATTTCTTGTATTTGAGGCGTGGTTTACGAACGCCCGGCGCCGTTTATTGGGTGCTAAGAATGTCTTATCAAATACGCCTGTATGTAGCTGTATGTATGTAATTAGAAAAACATAATTATTATGTACAGTTTAACATAGATGTTGAAGTTGTTATTTCCATTGGAAGTTAAAAAAATAAAATTTAATTTAATGACTAAAGTGTCAACAACTTTGTGCACAGCTGAAAGATATGCTACTAAAGCGGTAGCTGTATATTGATATTGAAAAGCAACACAACTTAGTGGCACTGTGACAACCACAGTAGGTAGTCAACAGGCATAATGGCCATATGATATTAATAAATACCACTTACCATTTATAAGTTAAATGGACTTCGTCGGTGACGATGGATAGCAGGTGGGTACTATACAACTCCGTGGCTAATATGTCTTTGCGCTCATCCAGGCCTCGGGACAGAAGATGGTATCGACAATTCTTTATCGCATTTTCTTTCTCGGGACACAGCTGAGCGGCAGATATTCCAAGGTTGACCGCCTCCGCCTCCTGTACCTGGTCCTCCATTTAGGGCGATTAATGGCGAGACAACAATAACGACTGGGGTCTCGCAAAATATAACGCCAAAAGCGGCTCTTTTTTCTAAATAAACTTGCATTCTAAACTACTTAAAACAATATCTAAGGCTGCATCAAAAGGTAGCTTCTTGTCAGCTGCCATGTTGAATCCATGGATATAAACAAACTGCTTTAGTGTGTGGCATAGATGTCATCATCGTCTTGCTGCTCCCTCCCCGTTCTGTGATTGGTTCCCTAAATGAGGCAAAAACCTGGGCCATGGTATCCATGGTATCCCGTGGTATCCCGTGAATAAAATCGTGCTGCGGGAAGGCAGTCTGGGGAAACCCAGTCGGCCGTGTGTCCATCAAAGCGTTTTTCCACGCGGATGGCGTATGTTTTCAATTGTTTGGGAGCGCCGCGTTTTTTAAACGCCATGAGCGTGACGAGGCGCTGAGTGTTTTTTTCACGCTGAAGCGCCGAGCGCCCAGCGTTTTTTACTGGTCGTCGAGAGTTGAAAAATGTTCAACTTTGGATAAAACGCAGTGCTCATCAAGGTCACTTTTTACCTAGCCGTCCAATCACAATGGAGGCGGGGCGGGACTAACCGGCCAATTGTCACAACATTCAAACTGTACTGCGGATATTCTGTATCATAGCAACGAAACGTCTCAACGGAAAAAAACGTTGCGCGAAAGCGAAACGCTCTCAAGCGCCCAAAGCTCGGCGTCTTCAGCAGAGCGTCTAGTGTTTTCAGCTGGCTAAAGACGCTTTGGTGGACCTAAGGAAATTAGAAACATCCCACGACAATTTGTCATAAGTGACTATTTGCTGTACACAATGTCAAGTCCAGTATTACTACAGAATAGTATAGAAATGGTTTATGGTTTAATGGAGTCCCTGATGCCTCAGAAGATTGGGCAAAAGTTAACATCTTGTTCAAAAGACTTGTGAAGAAACATCCAGGCATGGCTTGTTCACCGAGAAAACATTTCAAAAGCCTCAAATGCATGATATCTAAAAAAAGGAAGTAGTTTTAGCAGTGGAGCATGCTATTTTAATGAATTTGTTGCTTAAAAATTATATATTAAAAAAAAATAATAATTAAAAAAAAATGTAGGGGCCTATTCATTTAGAGTAACATGCCCAGATTAAGTCAATTTTGATTTCCCACTGACATTAGGCTACACATTTCTCAACATCAAACCTTATGTGCATTATAATATATCACAAGACATTAACATTTTCTTCTCCATCAGGATTTTCTTACCTCTAAAGTCAAAGTGACGCACTGGATTGGTCTTAATGATTTGGACACTGAGGGACACTGGGTTTGGGTGAACAACCAGCCACTAAATGATTCAGTAGAGTAAGAGCTTCTTTAATCTTCACAATACAACCTCATTAGCAGGTTGCTGCCAAACAAAATCAATTTGTTTTTTTCATCCTGCAGATTCTGGATAAAGCGAGAGAATGGAGTCAGAGAGCCTGATAACTGGACGAAAGGCCATCCTGCCGGTGAAGACTGTGCTAGTCTGGGACATCCAGCGGGAGAGACGGATTTCTGGACGGATGCTTTTTGTTTCCAAGAGAAAAGATTTGTGTGTGAAGCTGTTGCAGCGGTTTAATTCATCCCTCCTGAAGAGTTCAGTTAGCTTTCAGTCATACTCAAACCAACTGTTGTGAAACAAAAGGCATGTGATGGCACCCAAAGTACCCTGACATCAGTGTTTCAATATGTATTCTGTAACATCATATCTAAATCATGTGTGTCAGTAATCATGTATGCCACTTTTCCTTTCCAATGGATGTTTCCTGCTGCGATTCAATCTGAATGTAATATAGTTTTGTGACAGTATGTCATTTACAGTAGTCATTTGATATAACAGTGCGCTGGAAGAGGTAGATTTACCATCAGCTGTTCAAATAGAACTACAGCTGAATGAACACAGTTCACAGATCACACATCGCTTTTTTTTTCTTTTAAAAACTATTAATATAACATTTGTAAAATAAAACAAAAAGTCAGAATGCACAACTATACATGCTGTCAAATGAGAATATTGTTCTAATAATAGTGCAGTTCCAGCATCTACCAGTAGGAGGTCACTGGACATACTACATTTCTTCACACCCCGACGAAACCTGACAATTCTCAAAATTAACGGAATGCATAGCTAATATATATAAAAAAAAAAAAAAAACTGGATAGTAATTTCCTACTACTTATTTCTGAGAAAAGAAAAAAAACAGAGATTCTAATTATTGGACAAAAAAACATCACATACTAAAATACTAACACCTAATGATTTCTCCGTCAAGTCTTTGTTGTCGGTTAGGAATCTGGGTGTGCTCTTTGAAGGTGGTGGTCCTTCATCCAGCAAGAAATGTTTGTAAGGCAGGCTGAGACGCAAGCAGAAACCGTTGGATCATCTGTCTGGAATGAGAGGTAGACTTAGGTGTCATCTGTATAGCAGTGTTAGGAAAAAATGTCCTATATATAAAATATCCTAGCTATTTGGAAGGAGAAGGACCTGCCGGCAAGACTTGAACTACTAAAGTGAGGTTCCTGAGATGCCCTTCATCTTGAGGATCTAGGGGTTTAACTGCAGCAGACAGATCCAGCTAGATACAGTAACTAGGCCTACTGATGATTTGTAAGCTAGTCTCAGAGCTACAATAACTGTGAGCAGGGCAGTCTCTCTTGAGTGAATTATATCCATAACGGCAATCATTTTACAATAAGATCTCATGTGCTCCACAAAGTTTGTTCATTTCCATAAAGCTAACAGAACATAACTGACCAGTCATTTATATTTTCATAAGAGGGAGTGAATTTGTCTTGGACTGGTCCTGTACACACACTGACATCAATGACTTAAGTTAAATAAAGGATTTACATGTTCATGCAAATTAAACACTTTTCCTTTGAACAAAATGGATTCCTCTGTGACTCTGAGTACAATCGAATTGTTTCCGGCGTAATTTTAGACCTGGTTATGCAGCTAAATGTTCCTTTTCTAAATGTGAAGGTGGAATGACAGATGACCTCTGCCCTTGTTATTTCGTACACCAATATGTAACATAAAAAAAATGCTTTTTGATCATGCAAAATGATGCTAGCCTTTGTAGTCTTATTTGACTGTTGAACGACACACTATCCAGCTTTTGGTCAATGCTTTTGGCATAACATGTCACAGACTTGGTACAAGAAAAGACAACAGACAATGATAGAGCGTAAAAGAAAATTTGGGGCTCAAGCCCATGCCCTTTTTCAAAATTAATCAAAAGTGCCCCTCTCAAACAAATATTAATGTTAATATTGTGGTCAACAAAACCAAATGCATTTTATTATAATTAAAGGAGAACTCCAGGGCAAAATGAACCATTGGTCTAATAAAACATTGGTACCTAGTCAACCATTCTCTGAGATTTGTTTTCATGAGAATCGAATGTAAAGGGTTTTATCTCTAAAAACTGTTCAGCGTATAACACTAATATATGTGGGTAAATTATAAGTGAAAAGAAATTGCTAGTCAATACCACCAACAAGGCTCAAAATTGCCTCACAGTAACATAATGAGGGTCTATGCGTGCAAAACGAAGCATTGAGAGCTTTTTAAGTGTACAGACCGTTTAATAAGAAGATATTTTATAAAACATATAAAACTTGTTCAACTCATCAAGACTGTATTGGAACCACATACAACACCCCACCATCAGACTTGATAAAGTGTCTCTTAAATTCAATGCATTATGTTGAGTGTTTGATTCAGTTAAATAGCTAATTAATGAATTAGGGAAATTAAAGGATTAGTTCACTTTTGAAAAAACTTTTGCTGATAATTTACTCACCCCCATGTCATGCAAGATGTCCATGTCTTTCTTTCCTCAGTCGAAAAGAAATTAAGGTTTTTGATGAAAACATTCCAGGATTTTTCTCCATATAATGGACTTCAATGGGAACCGGATGGTTCAAGGTCCAAACGATAGTGTTAATAACAGATTCAGATGCAGCTTCAAATGTCTTTAAACGACACCAGACGATGAATAAGGGTCTTATCATGCGAAACGATCGGTTATTTCAAAGCTTATTCCAAAAATGTAACTTAGGACAAATGCTAGCCTTTCTCCATTCTGTGAGGCGCGTTTGCAATGTCACGTAATACGTAATTACGTTCAAAAGGTCACGGGCGACGTAGCCAGAAGTACAGAGTCAGAGTGTTTACAAGTTGAACGCATAGGTTGAACGTGCAAACTAACTCAAACGCCGTTTACAAAAAAGGAATTAAAAGGTAAAACAACGATGTCGGACGATTTTGATTCTGTATTTCCGGCTACGTCGCCCGTGACCTTTTGAACGTAATTACGTATTACGTGACGTTGCAAACGCGCCTCACAATATATTACAAGGCTAGCATTTGTCCTTAGAAAAGTTAAATTTTTGGAATAAGCTTTGAAATAACCGATCGTTTCGCATGATAAGACCCTTATTCATCGTTTGGTGTCGTTTAAAGACATTTGAAGCTGCATCTGAAACTGTTATTAACACTATCGTTTGGACCTTGAACCATCCGGTTCCCATTGAAGTCCATTATATGGAGAAAAATCCTGGAATGTTTTCATCAAAAACCTAAATTTCTTTTCGACTGAGGAAAGAAAGACATGGACATCTTGGATGACATGGGGGTGAGTAAATTATCAGCAAAAGTTTTTTCAAAAGTGAACTAATCCTTTAAAGGGTTAGTTCACCCAAAAATGAAAATTAAGTCATTAATTACTCACCCCCATGCTGTTCCAACCCCGTAAGACCTTCGTTCACCTTCGGAACACAAATAAAGATATTTTTGATTGAATCTGAGAGCTGGATCACTCTTCCATTGGCTTCCTAAGGGACTGGCTCTTGACGGCCCATAAAGTCATTAAAGAAAAGGTTTAAATATTCCATGTGCCTACAGCGACTCAATTATACGTTTATCAAGCGACGAGAATACTTTTTGTGCGGAAAAAAACATAAATAACAACTTAATTCCACTATTCCATTACTTCCTTATGGGCGCATGCGCGAGAACTGAGACGGGGACGTTCCCATTCGTTTACTTCTTGTTACCAGCTGCTCACCGCTTAGGAGTTTTACCGCCACCTATCGTATAAGATGATGTGCTGATATAGCTGGAAGCGCAAAACTTTCTGTTTACAAGCAGAGGAAGATGCGCTGTACATACGCTTTTCAATTAGCGTATTTTCCGCACTATAAGGTGCACATAAAAGCCTTTAATCTTCTCAAAAAACGACAGTGTTCCTTATAATCCGGAGCGCCTTATATATATGAATCATTATTTTATACGGTAGGTGGCGGTAAAACTCCTAAGCGGTGAGCAGCTGGTAACAAGAAGTAGACGAATGAGAACGTCCTCGTCTCAGTTCTCGCGCATGCGCCCATAAGGAAGTAATGGAATAGTGGAATAAAGTCGTTATTTATGTTTTTTTCGCACAAAAAGTAGTCTCGTCGCTTGATAAACGTATAATTGAGCCGCTGTAGGCACATGGAATATTTAAACCTTTTCTTTAATGACTTTATGGGCCGTCAAGAGCCAGTCCCTTAGGCATTCTATGTAGGACTGATCCAGCTCTCAGATTCAATCAAAAATATCTTTATTTGTGTTCCGAAGACGAACGAAGGTCTTACGGGGTTGGAACAGCATTTTAATTTTCATTTTTGGGTGAACTAACCCTTTAAGCTTATGACGCTTTTTTAGATGCTGGAGTAACTTTGCATTTAGTCTTCTAGAACACCCCAAGAGTTGTACGTATATTTAAGTGATATATTCATTACACATTTAATTTTACAATAATATATATATATATATATATATATATATATATATATATATATATATAGTCACTTAGGGAATCCATCTCATGAATAGTTAATGGCCCCACTTGGCAGTAAACATGAGCAATACACAACACTTTATACGTACATGTATTTAACACACCATACTTCTTCTTTACATTTCCTTATTTGTACATACCTCTAGATAATGTCTATTGTCTATTTTTGTATATTGTATAGGCTATTTAAAATTTTGTAAAATGTTGTATATTGTATTTCCTATTTACTTATTCTATTTTTATTCTTTTTATTATGTGTCTTGTCACTGTATTTCTGTTTGTGCTGTAAAATAAATAAACTCCCAAATAAAACAAGCGACAATGTATATTTAATTTAAAAAATACAAATTTTATCATCAAGAGACATTAAAAGCAATAGAAAAATAGTGAGTACATTTTTGTTTTAAAAATAGTAGAGTACTTTTGAAAAAAAAATCTGTAATGTAGGTGCAGACCTAAAGTGAACTAATAAACTGTTCCAGAGTTTCAGGACCCGCAACAGCAAAGGCACTTTCTCCTTTTTGACTGAACTCCAGTCATATTTCCATGAGATAAGAGTGAATTTTTATCAGCCAAAAGCTTACACAGACATCAATGACTGTATTTAAATGACTGAACGTTAATGTAAATTATGCGGCCTGTACTTGCCTTACGGTTGAACATCTGAACTGGACACAGTCACAACATCCACAGATAAAAAAGATAAAGAATAGTTAGCATGTCTATAAAACAGAGGGTGGAAGTTGCACATCCTGAATGACCTTCGTGTTCTTCACATCCTGAATAACCTTCACAGCTGAAGATGAGTGTGTTTGTCGTCTCGATGCTGCTGGTGTTTGGCTTTCCGTTCATCATGACTGATGTTGTAGATTCATTCGAAACTTGCAAACAGTTTTTTTTAGAAGGCAATCCTCCAGTGATTCCTGGCATTCTGGAGAAATCAGTCTCAAAGAATCAGAATCGTTTTAAAATAATCTGTCAAAAATATAACAACATTTACAGATTTGCAACTTTCTACGACACAACAAATAGGATCCCTTTATTCTCAGCTTACAAATTTACTGGGCATCACAAAACGGAACGTGTTTCATGGATGACCGAGCCACAGGTGAGGATGCCATTTCCTAATTTTTTTTCCCCCAGTTCTGTTTCAGAAAAACTCATTATTGTCTCCTTTTTTTCTTTGTCAATTACCTGTCCTGAAGCTTGAAGATTGCTCAAAGGATGGAATGAGTTCCAATCAGGCTTGCGATGGAGACTATCGGAAGAACCAAATGAATGTGAATCGTGACATTTATTTCCGTGCAGCCATGCCGCTGATAAAGAAACTTTTGAATCTACATTCACTCTGACCAATGCTGTGCCACAGTACATAAACTTTAACGGCGGCAGCTGGAACCGCATGGAGCAAAAAGTTAGACAAATCATGAATTCTAAATGCATTGATCAAAATAGAAAAATCTCAGCCTTTGTGTTGACAGGAGCTGTGCCGAACACTAAAACAACAGAAGTATTGAATAACAGAGTCAACATTCCCTCACACATGTGGACAGTGTTCTGCTGCTTTAACAGTGAGAGCAACAAATATGAGTCTCAAGCTCACTGGGCTGAAAACATCGATGAGGGCACAAAGGAAGGCAAACAGATCAGCGTAATAACCCTGAAAAAATTACAGGGCAATCTGAAGAGCAAATATAATAAAGAAATCTCACTGTTTATCGGCGACTGTTCAGATGCTTTAAAAGCAGATGCAAGTCCAGCTCAAGAAGCAGACGATGGTTGTGATGGTGAGCCATGAAACAATCATTGTGGTCTACCTTTAAAAAAAAACATTTTGGGCCTGGTTACTTGGCTATTTTAGAACTTAAATGTAAAGTTGGTATGAAATAACAAGTAGAACAGATTTCTGTTATTAATTCTGACACTACTTTCTTTGACAAAGCCACACAAATAAATGCTTTCAAATCATGCAAAATACTTGGGTTATTTATGTGTTGAACATTGTCACATCAACCGTCTCAGTGATTTTGGCGTAACTCAAGAAATGAACCAAAGATAGAATGCTATACTGCCAATATTAGTTGGTCACAAAAGTCAAGTCGAATGGAAACTCTTGGGCTTAGGTCAGTTCTAAGTGACTCCAGACGCAGTGTTGTAGGGCTTGTATAATGAGTGAAAGAACTCTCACTTCAGTCTGTGGGTTAACAGGTTTAGATGTGTGAGTCAAAAAACTGCTTCTATGGGGCCATAACATAAGCTACAGGTAATGGAGTGTTTCTTTAGAAATAAATAAATGGACAAATGGAGTCTTTGGACGTCTCAGATGTAAAGTTATTCCCTGTCAAAGTGACGCCAAAATGAATGGGAGTCAATGGAAATGCTAACTCAAGTGAAGTTCTGCTACAAGATGGCAGCACCCGGCCGGCTTCAACTTCCGGTCGATGGATTACCCCCTTGCTAATGATCCTCTGAGCTTTCTTCACACACCGCCTGCCATATATATCCTGTAGGGAAGGAAGATCACCTCCGATGATACAGATGGCAGTGTGCAGGACGTACATTAAATTTGGGGTAATAGAGGGGTAGAAAAACAGATATACAACCTGCAAAGAACTTTGTAAGTAAATTGAAATCACCTTCGTTAAACATATTTTTAATACATATATATATATATATGAAGAGTTCAGATGCAAAAGCCTCTAAATGCCATTTGAAATTTTCTTCTTTAATGATGATTTTTATCAAACTTGTATATTTAAGTTCAGTAATTTCACTTAAATGGCAATGATAATTAGGCCTACTTATTAATTGTTATTTAAGTGAAATTACTGGATTTAAATATACAAGTTTGATAAAAATCATCATTAAAGAAGAAAATTTCAAATGGCATTTAGAGGCTTTTGCATCTGAACTCTTCATATATATATATATATATATGTATTAAAAATATGTTTAACGAAGGTGATTTCAATTTACTTATTAATTAATACAATTATACTTATTATTAATTAATAGACCTGTTTTTTTCTCTGGGGGGGAGGGACACAATCACACACATAACTGGTGATGGTGCGGGTGTGTGTGTGTTGGGGGGTGGACACATAACTGTTGATGATTGGTGTGTGTGTGTGTGTGTGTGTGTGCGTGTGTTGGAGGGTGGGACACATAACTGGTGATGGTGGGTGGGCGCGCGTGTGTGTGTGTGTTTTGGGGGGTGGGACACATAACTGATGATGATTGGTGTGTGTGTTGAGGGGTAGGAGTGGGACACATACCTGATAATGATTGGCTTAGATTGAGTAAAGAGTATGCTGGTGTTCACTGTTCACACACAAGCACATGCAAAGTCCCACACACCAGCGATCAGGAGGAGACAGAGTGATGGCAAGTCCAACGAGTTCAAAAGTAACTTGAGGTGAAAGGCAATAATGTTTATGTAATACAATAGTTACTTTTCCTGGTAGTTAGTTACTTTTATAATGACTTTAAGCTACAAAATTAGTTAGTAAAGTTACTATTTGTGAGAAGTAAGTAGTAACTATAACTGATGACTTTTTTTTAAAGTAGCATGCCCAACACTGTGTATCATTAATCTTTTGTGTACCAGGAATTGAGCTCTTGTAAGAGAAGGTTAAATAAAATAAGTAATACATTAAAACCTAAAGGAACAAATTGAAATTTTTGATCTAAATTATTGATAGGGACATATCAGCGGTAACTCGATGTTGGTAACTCGTCCCTACTCAAAACGCACCTGAAGCAAAGGAACCTGAGGGCTTAAATACAAGGGAGAGTAATCAACTGAAATCAAATGGTGGGTAGAATTAATTAACAACCAAGGAAACTAACCAGGGAACAGGCAAAAACCAGAATAGGGAAAAAAGAACGAAACAAAATTAAACTAAACCAAAACAGAACATGTTACAAATACATTTTTCTTCCTATCAGCCATGTCATCGAGGGGCAGATATCATATAAAGTTGCTTATTACTGAAACAAAGAGACATCAGACATTAAGCAGGATATAAATCAAAACTGCCAAATGTTGCTGAATTAAATGTGGATTTTGAAGCTTTGGCAGTGTTGATGGACTATTTGTCAGCTGTGTTTTGATGATCATTCTGAATGCTATTTTCTTAGCTTTTTTTTTTTTTTTTTTTTTTTTTTTTTTGCTATTTTTATGAAACTTGTGCAAATTCAAGTGTTGATTAAAAAAGAATGAATGAAGCAAGAACGAATTGTTGTTCCTTTTTTGTCTACTTTTTTAAAGCATAGGCTCTGTTTTAAAAAATATATATATTTTATGTTCAGATATTCATACAAAAAAAAATATTCTGGAGGCATTTTTTGAAGCTCCCGCTGACTGGTAAGTTATGAATGAAGTATTTTCTTAATATTTGGCATGGAGAAAAAAAAATGTTTACTTTAAGTTTTCATATATAGTTCTGTGATGACAAAAGTTGTGAAGATTGTTAATTTTGGTGTGCCATTTTTGTTTTTAATTCTTCATTTTTATTTTACCAGCAGCTGCCAGTGTGTGGTATCTATTTCTTATTAACTCAGTGGGAGTTGAGTTCATAGCAATTGGTGTATGTATGTAGGCGTTGTCTCTGTTGCTAAACTATTTAAACTTGAACAGGGAATTTAAGTCCAGACCTTTCTGTGGAACTGCATCAAATCAGCTTCATTTTTTTGGTTTGTGATTGAGTTTAGACGAAAATGCGTCTCTTTGTCGTTGCAATGCTGCTGTTTGGTTTTCCGTTCATCATGTCAAAAGTTGTAGATTCATTCAGAAACTGCAGCGAATTCTTTTTTCATGGACAGCCACCAATGATTTCTGGCATTCTGAAGGATTCAGTGTCACTGGATAACAATCATTACAAGATAATCTGTCAAAAATACAAGAACGAGTACAGATTTGCAACTTTCTACGGCACAACAGAGAAGATCCCTGTTTTCTCAGCTTACAAATATACTGGGCATTATAAAGGGAGACCACACATTCCGTGGATGATCGAGCCAGAGGTGACGTTTGTTATATATATAAATATATAATATTTTTTCAATTCATTAATTGTCTGGTTTTACATTCTACGGGAAATGATTTATTTTCAGATTTCCTCAAGTTCTCTGAACAATCTATTGACTATCAATCTCTTCCTCTTTCTTCATTATTTGTTCTGCAGCTTGAACCTATAGACGGAGAAATGCGTCAACCATGCGTCAATCAGGCTTTCCCAGGAGACTACTGGGCACAGAAGCAATTGAATCGTGGTCACTTATTTCCCAACAGTCATACAGCTGATCAAAACACTTCTGAATCTACATTCACACTGACCAACACTGTGCCACAGTTTGAGACATTTAATAATGGTAGCTGGCTTAGAATGGAGGAAAATGTTAGAGATAAGATGCATTCTCACTGCCGTGACAAAGACAACCTTACTAACACCTTGGCGTACGTGCTGACTGGATCTGTGCCAAGCAAAAGACAACCCTTAAATAAAAGAGTCAACATTCCTTTATACATGTGGACAGTGTTCTGCTGCTATAACAGCAGTGACAGCAGATGGGTGTCCGAAGCCCACTGGGCTGAAAACATAGATGAGAGTAAAGATCCAGATAAGACTATCAGTGCAAAAACACTGGTGGAATTACAGCAGTTTCTGCGAAAAAAAAATAACAGAGAATACAAACTGTTCTTTAATGACTGTTAACTAGATTTAATTAGACTTAATTAGATTCAAATTTGTTTTGTATAAAGTGAAATCTATGCGCATATCCTGAATAAGGTGAGCAAAAAGCGTGGCGGTCCTTAAATTGTTTCTAACCATTCGCCTGGTTCACACAGCAGGAAAATTAGGCTGATTTTACCCCTTCTGACAATCTTAAAGAGCCCCTATCATGGATTTTTGAAAATGACTGTTCATATGGTGTGGAATATCAACGCATTCTCACCCCAAGGCGTCACCTTTGACCATGCTTCAATATTTGACGTTTTAGGCGCCCTTTAGCGTCACTTACATGACGCGATCCTACGGCGTCCTCTAACTGACGCTAAAGGGCGCCTAAAGCGTCAGATATTGAAGCATGTCCAAATGCTTCCCGAGGCGTCAGTTAGGTGACGCCTTGGGAGTGAGAATGGGCTGGGAATATAGCTCTAAGGGAATGAAAACATCCTGCAAAGATTTATATCTGAAAGTGCACCGTATATAAAGTTATTGTCTTTCAAAAGTGAGAGTCGACTCTGAGTCTATGAAATGACAACCCGGTCTCATCCCAAGACGTCATATAACTGACGTTTTGGGACGTCTTTTGACCATACGTCAATATTCGCCTTTTTAGGGCCCCTTAAACGTCGGTAGATGAGGTTATGGGATCCTAACTCTACCCCAGACCTAAACCTAACCCTAAACCTAACCCGTCACCTAACTGACGTTAAAGGTAAAGCGTCAGTTGTATGACGGCCCGGGATCGCCATCTACCGACGTTTAAGGGGGCCCTAAAAAGGCGGATATTGACGTACGGTCAAAAAACGTCCCAAGACGTCAGTTATATGACTTTTTGGGATGAGACTGTGTTAGAAATGAATTGTTTTTGAAACGAGTCATTAGCTGGTTCGTCGTGACGTAGAGAGGTCATTGGCCGCGCCCAGTTACTGTGCACGCAGACGGAAGTGTAAACTTGAAGTCTACACATTCAAATACTTCATCATAGCATCATGTCGAGAAGACGCTGTGTTCTACAATGCAAAGATAGTTCAGTCACTTTGTTTTCATTTACCAGGGACGAGCATGTGAAGAATCGGTGGTTAGAGTTCATATTTGCAACAATACCACGACAGTATAGCCCGATTGTGTTCTCATCATTTTATTGACGAATAACGTTAGTTCAAAAACATAAATGAATTCAAATGTGGATTCGCAAGCGGTTGTTCCTGAAGGAGGGCTCAGTATCTTACTTACCCAGTGTATATGGATCAGCTTCCTCCTTCGAATCACAACCTGTAAGTATTATTAATAATTGTTGCTTTTATGGGTTTTGAACGGTTTTGTAGCGTCGGGTGCGAGCAGGGAAGGCGCAATAAGTATGTGTGTGCGTATGTGTGTGTGTAAGTTAGGCTCAGCGCAGCTTCTAGGTCTCCAATGTCAGTTTTTTTTAAATATGTGAAATGTTTGTCGCTGTTACTGGAGTTGTCATAAAGAATAGAGCGTCTTACTGCAGTGCTTTATCAATATGTTTATGCGTTATGCTAACAAACAACTGACTGGGTCTGTCATCAGACCAATCACCGGCGATTAGCGTCACGCAAAGGAGTGGTTTGGAAAAATGAGTCGTTGTACGAATCATTTGGGAGTCGGTGAGCAAATCAGTTAAAAATAAATGCATATTATAAGACAAATAAAGTGTTTTTTATCCTTGCATGCATGTTAAACTGTTTTTCAGAACTCCTAAAACAAAAATAGGAACATTTCAAATGCTATGATAGGGGCTCTTTAATGCGCACCACAGACTGTATAACCAAAAAATGTGAAACCCGTGATTTTTTTATCGCCATGTGTGGGGTCTCTCAGGTTTGTAAAATCGGCCGACAATTTTTAAATCGTCCCATGTGAACCAGGCTTTAGTTTTCTAAATCCTGCTTTTATGGAGTAAATGCTTATGTCTACACATTTCTGTTATAAACTCTGTCCGTGTTATTTTTTTGACTGCTATGCAAAATCAAACAAATAAATGCTTCCAAATCAATCACTTGTCTTTACAGCTTTTGTTTATTTGTTTGTTTGTTTGTGTGTGTGTGTGTGTGTGTGTGTGTGTGTGTGTTATAGTCTTCACTCATAACAACTTAGTTGTTGTAATATTTCACCATATAGGCCTGAGGACTTGTGTGTCACAAGTATACCTGTGTGTGTGTGTGGTGGTGGTGTCCGTGTTTGTGCATGCGTGCGACCATTAAAAACCATTTCATCCGGGAAATGGACTCTTGGACATGGATTATCGAGATAATAACTACCTAAAATAATAAACACGTTAGGAGCAGGGGCGAAAATTTCATCAAAATGTTGGGGGGGACAATAAACATAACAATTCTCAAGAGCAAATTTTGAAGGGGGACACCAATAATACAGGCAAAAAAATACAGAGGAAAGCCTTACTACTAGTGTAGCATGAAGATCATTTCATTATACTTCTTAAAATTTCTTTCTGGTTTAAGCCAGCGGCGAATCTGTTTACATACTCTCCTCACGCAGCGCAGCGATTTCATTTCATGACTCATTCTTTAACTATATTAAATGATATAAACCAACTAAATCACAGTGAAAGCGTTAGAATCTAAATGCACAGCGCACCCGGACTTTCTCATCAGTGTATGGCCAGCAATATTGTAATGTTTAATGACATGAAGATAATGTCTGTTATTATTGTTATGTACAATTAAATACAACCGATTTGAGACAAAAATAATTTAAATTGTATATAAAAATGGCGCTCTGTGGCGCAGCAGGGTTTTGAACACGGTCCTGAGCCGTTGCTGGGCGCCGCGGACAGACGCCGAACGGCGCCGCCAGTGTGTGTACACTCATAGAGAATAATGTGTTCGAATTTTAAAGACGTGGCGCTGCACGACGCGCCGCTACGCTTCTCGTTCGGTGTGCGACCCCTTCACTGGAGTTCCACAACTATTCAAACACTATGTTTTTCTCTCCCGCCACCGGAATGTGTGTGTCTGAGGTAAAAGGGACGGAGGCGGTGGACCAACGCATTGTGAGGCAAGGGAGGGGGGTCTCAAAATGTTTAGTACGCTTTTTTCGTAATTGCCCCGTTTGCATTTGTGTTATTTTATTTCTTAATTATTTTAAGAATATATCATTACATTATTTACAATACACATATTTTAATGGTTTTTTTGGGGGGGACAACCCTCAGATAGGGGGGGTCAATGCTTTTGGCATAACATGTCACAGACTTGGTACAAGAAAAGACAACAGACAATGATAGAGCGTAAAAGAAAATTTGGGGCTCAAGCCCATGCCCTTTTTCAAAATTAATCAAAAGTGCCCCTCTCAAACAAATATTAATGTTAATATTGTGGTCAACAAAACCAAATGCATTTTATTATAATTAAAGGAGAACTCCAGGGCAAAATGAACCTTTGGTCTAATAAAACATTGGTACCTAGTCAACCGTTCTCTGAGATTTGTTTTCATGAGAATCGAATGTAAAGGGTTTTATCTCTAAAAACTGTTCAGCGTATAACGCTAATATATGTGGGTAAATTATAAGTGAAAAGAAATTGCTAGTCAATACCACCAACAAGGCTCAAAATTGCCTCACAGTAACATAATGAGGGTCTATGCGTGCAAAACGAAGCATTGAGAACTTTTTAAGTGTACAGACCGTTTAATAAGAAGATTTTTTATAAAACATATAAAACTTGTTCAACTCATCAAGACTGTATTGGAACCACATACAACACCCCACCATCAGACTTGATAAAGTGTCTCTTAAATTCAATGCATTATGTTGAGTGTTTGATTCAGTTAAATAGCTAATTAATGAATTAGGGAAATTAAAGGATTAGTTCACTTTTGAAAAAACTTTTGCTGATAATTTACTCACCCCCATGTCATGCAAGATGTCCATGTCTTTCTTTCCTCAGTCGAAAAGAAATTAAGGTTTTTGATGAAAACATTCCAGGATTTTTCTCCTTATAATGGACTTCCATGGGAACCAGGTCCAACCGAGGTCCAAACGACAGTTATAACAGTTACAGATGCAGCTTCAAATGTCTTTAAACGACACCAGACGATGAATAAGGGTCTTATCATGCGAAACGATCGGTTATTTCAAAACTTATTCCAAAAATGTAACTTTTCTAAGGACAAATGCTAGCCTTTCTCCATTCTGTGAGGCGCGTTTGCAATGTCACGTATTACGTAATTACGTTCAAAAGGTCACGGGCGACGTAGCCAGAAGTACAGAGTCAGAGTGTTTACAAGTTGAACGCATAGGTTGAACGTGCAAACTAACTCAAACGCCGTTTACAAAAAAGGAATTAAAAGGTAAAACAACGATGTCGGACGATTTTGATTCTGTATTTCCGGCTACGTCGCCCGTGACCTTTTGAACGTAATTACGTATTACGTGACGTTGCAAACGCGCCTCACAATATATTACAAGGCTAGCATTTGTCCTTAGAAAAGTTAAATTTTTGGAATAAGCTTTGAAATAACCGATCGTTTCGCATGATAAGACCCTTATTCATCGTTTGGTGTCGTTTAAAGACATTTGAAGCTGCATCTGAAACTGTTATTAACACTATCGTTTGGACCTTGAACCATCCGGTTCCCATTGAAGTCCATTATATGGAGAAAAATCCTGGAATGTTTTCATCAAAAACCTAAATTTCTTTTCGACTGAGGAAAGAAAGACATGGACATCTTGGATGACATGGGGGCGAGTAAATTATCAGCAAAAGTTTTTTCAAAAGTGAACTAATCCTTTAAAGGGTTAGTTCACCCAAAAATGAAAATTAAGTCATTAATTACTCACCCCCATGCTGTTCCAACCCCGTAAGACCTTCGTTCACCTTCGGAACACAAATAAAGATATTTTTGATTGAATCTGAGAGCTGGATCACTCTTCCATTGGCTTCCTAAGGGACTGGCTCTTGACGGCCCATAAAGTCATTAAAGAAAAGGTTTAAATATTCCATGTGCCTACAGCGACTCAATTATACGTTTATCAAGCGACGAGAATACTTTTTGTGCGAAAAAAAACATAAATAACGACTTAATTCCACTATTCCATTACTTCCTTATGGGCGCATGCGCGAGAACTGAGACGGGGACGTTCTCATTCGTTTACTTCTTGTTACCGGCTGCTCACCGCTTAGGAGTTTTACCGCCACCTATCGTATAAGATGATGTGCTGATATAGCTGGAAGCGCAAAACTTTCTGT